CAGGCTCCGGCGGCTGGTGGTCCGCGCCGCCTCTCCGTACAGGAACACTGCAAGGGGACCGCGCGAGGCTGACCCTGGGGACACCCTGGGGACAGCTGGGGACAGACCCCCGTGGCGCCGGCTCCCTGGCAGGCGGCAGTGTGGCCGGTTCCCCACTCCCTCCCGGATGCCCCTGAAAAGGCCACTCTGGGAGGGTTGGGACCAAACGTGGGGGACGCTGATGGCAGGATGCTCGAGTCTGTGTTTAAAACGTGTTTTCTCTGTGTGCTAAACGTAACCGCAGAAGGAGGAACAGAGAAAAGAACAAAACCCGCCGAAAGCCCCAGCCCTGCTGGACGGTAGCCGTGGCTGCTCAGCTGTCCCTGCCTCACACCTGAGCGTGTGTGGCCCTAGTGGCCGAGACTGGATTTCTCCAGGGGACGGCGGGGGTGTGGGGAAACTCGTTCTCACCCTCCCGCCAGCCCCCACGGGTGGACACACTTTCCCCAGCTGGTCTCCATATGATTCGTGTCGTTTTCTTGACTTAGTTAATTTTCCAAAGCCAAACTGTTCTACTTCAGAGATTGCAGGTGTTTCAGGGCGGGGCCGGGGAACACACCTGGCACGTGCAGCTCCTCCGCCAGCCGCTGGCCGAAGGCCTCCGCGCACAGCACGCACTCGTCCATGCCGACGCCCCGCACGGGGACGAAGGGGCAGACGTCCAGGGCCCCCATGCGCGGGTGCTCCCCTGCGGGCGGAGCATGGTGGGCGCCAGCTCCCCTGTCCTCCCAGCCCTGGCTGCTCTCACTGCGCCAGGGAGGGGCCGGCCGGGGCCCCCCCACCCCGCGCTGGCAGCAGCCCAGCCCCCCAGCACAGCAGCATCCTCCGTGGGCATCTGGGGACCGTCCTCGCGGCGGCATGCAGAGGCGCCTGGCTGGGCGCTCGGCTCTCAGGGCGCCCTGGCCGGGCTGGAGGCGGCCGGTGTGGGCTGAGTCCACCGCCCCGCTCCTCCCCTGGCAGCGGAGAGCCCAGACTGCACTCACAGCACCTTGTGGCTGGCGATGCCTCTGCCGTGGTCAGACCCAGCCCCGGGTGAGCCCCCCAGGTGACCGGCTGCCCAGCCCCCCGCCTGCGCAGCCTGCACCGCCCAGAACCGGTGCTGTTCTGTCCACCGACCTTTGACTCTGCCCGCCCCCGCTGGTATTTGACTGTGTCTCCGGGCGCCCTCCCCCCAGAGACCTGCTCAGAGACTGGCTGGGTGTGGGGAGGCCCCCACCTGGCCACGGAGGTCGCCGTGAGAAGCCACAGCAGCCACACCTGGGCAGCCCTGCGGGCAGCACAGCCCAGCCCCGTCCCGGCCCTCCCGTCCCCAGCACCCTGGACAAGAGTCAGGCCACCCGGCCCAGCCCCACCTCGGTGCCGGCTCATGTCGATGAGCCGCGCGGCCACCCGGGCGGCGCTGAGCGCCCCCTCCACCACGCGGTCCGGCGGCCCCACAAAGGTGTAGACGGTGCGGTTGGTGGAGGGGCCGGCGTCCACGTCCAGCAGCGCGCAGCCCGGCGTCTGGGAGATGGCCTGGGCGATGGCGTCGATGACCTGGGGACACAGCCCGGCCCACGCCTGAGCGTCCCCATCGAGAGAGGGGCTCTGGAGGTGGCTGCAGCCCACGCCGCACAGACCTGGGAGCCCCACGGAGCGCAAGCCCCCAGCCCGGTCACCACGCCACAGGCCCTCACGGCCACAGGGCCACACGCGGGCCGCCAGGGAAGGCGGCAGGCGGAGCCCTCAGGAGGGACCACCTGGGGTGGCCGCTCGGAGAAGGGGCACAGGCCAAGGCCATGGCGCCAGGCCCAGCCCCCACACAGGGGGGCAGAGGGCCAGGGTGGGGGAGGGGCCCGGAGGGCCTGGAACCTTCCGGACAGAGGACGGCTCAACAGTGTGGGGGCCACACACTTGGGGGACTTGCCCTCAGCCTTTGGGGGGGTCCTCGATGGGCCGTTTTCAGAGGAGAGCACCGAGGCCAAGAGGCCCACCCAACCTCCACTGGAAGCCCCCGAGAGATTCCTGGGCCCCCCACCAGCCCTGCAGTCCCTCCCGGCACCGGCGGCGTCCCACCCACCCCGGTCAGTCCCCTCCACCTGGGCTCGTTCCCTGGTCCCTGGGACCAACAGGAAATGGCTCCATGGGGGAGTCCTCCCCACCACCACACTCCCTCCTCCTCGGCCGAGCCCCTCAGCTGCCCCTGCAGCCCCGTGGGGGCCTCACCTCCTGGCTGTTCCCCTCCGAGAAGTTGGGGACACACTCCACCAGCTGGGACATGGCTGGCGCCGGATCCGCAGGCTCCTCTTGGGCAGGCAGAGGGAAGCAGCTGGGGACGGGGCTTTATGTGCCGCGGCACCTCCCTGCAGGCTTCTCATTAACCAGCAGTCCCAGTGCAGAGCAGGCAGGACGGACAGACGGGGCTCAGGTGGGCGGCTCCACCGGCTGGGGGGCGGCCCCCGGGAAGGAGCAAGCATGAGGGACCTGGCAGGGACTCCGGGAGGCCCTGTGCAGCCCAGGGCCACCAGGCCACCCTGCGTGTGACCCTGCGTGTGACCCTGCATGCAGCCCTCAGGGCCTTGAGATGGGGTGTGAAGCCGCGCATGGTGAGGTCAGCCCAGGCAGGCGGGAGGCGTGCGGGGCCCAGGCAGGCGGGAGGCGTGCGGGGCGGGTGTGTGCGTGGGGCAGGGTGCCCGTGGCACTCCTGTGTGTGACTGAGATCGCGTGTTGCAGGGTGCGTGTGCATGTGGACGAGGTGTAAGTGTGGGCTGCCAGGGATCCCTGAGGACACCCTGCTCTCCTGGCTCTTGCGCCCCGACGCGGAGGCTCCCCAAGAGGTTCTCGGCACCAGGGCCTCGCTCAGAAGGCCCACTGCTGTCCAGAGGCTCCACCACGGCCCATGGAAGGTAATCGTTCTAAGTGGGGCCACAGGCCACGTGGCCTCCCTGGCCCTGGAGTCCAGCTCTGCCCACCGCCAGGGGCCTTCTCGTCCCGAAGACTCCTCCTGAGAGCCCGCCCGGCAGTGCTGGGTGTGACCTCGGGCCCGGGCAAGGAGCGCCCGGATCTCGGACCTGCAGCCATGTGGGCCTTGGGGACCCCACCTCCTGTGGCCACTCTGGGCGCCTGGGACCAGGGAGGGGCCCAGTGACTTGGAGCACACAGAGCCCCCCAGCCGGGCCACGTCTGGAGGATGGGAGGGGAGGATGGGTCTGTGTGGGCTGAACGCATCCCCCAAAAATCCTGCACTGAAGCCCTGAGCCCCAGCACTTGAGCACGTGCCTGGACTTGGAGACGGGTGATCAAGGTAAAATAGGTCACCGGGTGGCTGTGACCCAATCCGCCTGGTGCCCTGTAAGTGGCACTGAGGACGGACACGCAGAGGGACGGCCTGTGGGGCCAGCCCTGCTGCTCTGGCCTCGGACGTCCGCCCGCAGCGCTGGGAGACAGTCCCTGCCCGTGGTTAAGCGCCCCGTCCATGGGACGCGTGGGGACCACACTGGCTGGGAGGTCAGGCGCCCCTCGTGGGGTCGGCCAGAAACTCCAGCCCCTCCGTCCTCACACCACGACAGAGACGGGAGCTGCCCACCCACGGCCAGACCCTGGGCCGGTGCCAAGGCCGGGCCTGCCCCTGTCCCCAGGGCCCAGAGAAGCCACCTGTCGGGTAGGAGAGCCAGGTCAGGAGTAGGTGCTATAACTAACTCCTGAATAGGGGCCTCCACGGACCACCTGTGGGGAGGAGGATCCCAGCTGGTGCCCACTGACCTCCGACCACAGGCCAGGCCTGCGGACCCCAGGCCAGCAACTTCATAACCCAGAGTACAAAACACATGTGACAGAATAAACAAACGTGGCCAAGACACGAATCTCTACGCACAAGAATCCCAAAGAGCTCACGTGGCCACCTGGGCTGTGGGCGTGGGAGCCAGGCCCAGCCCGTGCCCTCCGTGGGCAGAGGACTTGGCCTCCGTACCCCTGCCCCATTTCCTCTCATTTTTATGGGACAGTAAGAAAAAATGCAGGGCTGGTCTCCACCCTCCCTACTGCACAGCCTTCCAGAAAGTTCCATGCGCACCTGCCTCCCAGCCCTGCCCCAGCCCGGCCCGGCACTCTGTGGACAGGTGGGCCGAGGGTGCCACCCAGGCAGAGCCCCCTGGCCTGCCCCTCCTGCCGGGCGTGGGTTTCGCCTGCCCCGACCCAGGCCGCCCAGCAGCAGCCGTCAGAGCAGGGTCCCCCGCGGGAGCCAGCGCACCCCCTGGGTGCTCAGACAGCACAGGGACCGGGCTGGGTCCCATCTCCTAACGTGCTGATGCCACTCCAGGGCCTTGGAACCAGGTGGCCCTGCGCCCCTGCAGGTCCTCCGAGGCCGTGCTAGCGCCCGGGCCGGCCTGGCCGTGGGTCCTGCTCCTGCTCCTGCTTCTGCAGGGAGGTGGCCCCTGGCGCTTGGGGGTGGACTCCCTGCTTCCCCGGCGAGGGTCCCAGACGGCCCCTCCCTGGGCCGCGTGCTTCACAGTCAGCTCCCAAGCAGAGCGCGCCGGGCGGGGCGGGCTGCTGGGCCCCGCCGGAATCCCTCCGCGCTGCGTCTTCCAGGCCCTGCAGAGCCCACAGCCGCCCGCAGGAGCCTGCTCGGTCCTTACAAGGGCCGGACCGGACCGTGCACGGACGCCGCCGCACTCTGGAGCGCAGGGCAGCTGGGTGCCGTCCTGCAGGCCCCGCCAGGCCTCTCCGTGTGGCCGAGCGCCCGCCGGCACCTCCTGCAGGCGCCGCAGGGACCCAGGCGCTCTCCGCGCCCTCAAAGAGCAGAGGTGAAGCGGCAGGTAAATAGATGACTTTAATAAAGTGCAACAGGTCCGCGGGCGGGCGGCGCGGGCTGCGGGCACGGGGCAGCTCGGTCCGCGGAGGCGCCCGCTCCCAGGCGCGGTCGGCGCGGCCGGGCGGCCCTTCCCCCTCGGGGGGGACGCGCAGGAGGCACCTTGGCCCCCAGGTTTGAACAAACACGTTTATTGCAGGGAAGGCGGCGGCGCCGCGGGCTCACCAGGCGAAGAGCGGCTTGCTGTCCTCCTTGGAGAGCTCGCACAGGCAGTTGAGCAGCAGCAGCGAGTCGCCCAGGAACTTGGGCGGCACGATGTCGATGACCAGCTTGCGCAGCGCCGCCGGGCTGCTGTGCAGCGGGTTGGCGCGCAGGTCGGGCCGCTGCTTCAGGATGCCGTAGGTGTTGATGAGGAACTCGCTGAACACGGGGTGCACGTCGCGGCTGTAGCCCAGCTTCTCCAGCCGCGCCGTGAGCGTCAGGTAGCGGTGGGTCAGCTCGCGCAGCTTCTTCTCGTCCACGGAGCCGTCCAGGGACTTGATGGAGGTCTGGGGACACAGAGCACAGTAGGGGTGGGGCCGGTCGCAGCGTACAGTGGGGAGCACGGAGGTTGGGGGACACAATGCTAGGGGCGGGCGGGAGGGAGGCCCGGGGTCACGGTGCACAGGTTGTGGGGGTGAGGGGGGCCCACTGTAGTGCCAGGCAATTCCGGGGACCCCACGGGGCTGGGGCACTGGGGGCAGGGTGGCCTCTGGCCCCATGTGGATGAGGGTAGGGGCAGCTTGGATGGGGGAATCCCGCCTGGCCGAGTCTGCACGGACAGTGTCAGGAACAGGAGTCAGGCCTCTGCCTTGAGCACCTTACAAGCACCAAGCACAGGCACGAAGCACAAGCACTGAGCACAGGCACCAAGCACAAGCACCAAGCACAAGCACTGAACACAAGTACCGACCACAGTCACCAAGCACAGGGACCCAGCACAGGCACTGAACACAAGCACTGAGCACAGGCACCAAGCACAAGCACCAAGCACAAGCACTGAACACAAGCACCGACCACAGTCACCAAGCACAGGGACCCAGCACAGGCACTGAACACAAGCACTGAGCACAGGCACTGAGCACAAGCCACAGGCACTGAGCATAGGCACCGAGCACAAGCACCGAACACAAGCCCCCAGCACAGGCACCCAGCACAGGCACTGAGCACAAGCACTGAACACAAGCACTGAGCACAGGCACTGAGCATAAGCACTGACCACAGACACCAAGCACAAGCCCCTAGCACAGGCACTGAGCACAGGCACCGAGCACAAGCACCAAGCACAAGCACTGAGCACAGGCACTGTGCCATGAAGCCTGGGGCCGGGAGCCTCCCGGGACTGTCCAGTTGTGAAGCCGCGGACCCCTGCCCCGGCGGTGAGGGTCCTGGGCCAAGGGGCGCACCTGCTTGATCTTCTCTGGGATGTTGGACACGGTGAAGCCATAGAGCCGCGTCACGCCGGGGAAGACGTAGGCCAGGATACGCCGGTCCAGCTGGAAGGCGATCTCCCCAACGATGCGCCCGTCCTTCTCGGTGCCCGCGAAGCTCTGGATCTCTGCCGGGGAGACGCAGGCAAGGCTCGGGGCGGGGCCAGGCCAGGGCAGCCACACCTGCCGCACCCCAGGACCCACTGCCCCCGTCTCGGCCCCTCTCCTCCCCCACCTCCACCCTCAGGGAAAATACGAACCTCAGAAAACAGGAGAACTTTTGGGAGCCAAAGGGCAAAAGACCTTTTCCCTCCTCCCTGTTCTTAGAGTGTTTCCTTGGGAAACGTGTAAGGGCAGCTCCTTTCTCTGCCCCTTTGGGCGGGTAAACTTTTTTAAAAGGCTGGGGAGCCTCTGGCATGCTTTCTTGTCCCCTGTCACTGCCTGGCCAGGAGAAAGGGCCGGTGAGAGTCTCTGTCTTAGCAACCTCTGGGCATCGAGGGCTGATTAACGTTTACTCAATAATAAAACCCTTGCACTCTTCCTACACCTGCGGAGAGGACGGCTGGGGGACAGGAGATTCCATTCTTAACTATTTCCGTGACATTGCTCAGGACAGGGCTCTGACAGCCCCCCCAACCTGCTTCCAAATCCCCGCTCCCCACCCTGGGCTCCGACGCCACTGGGGTCATCCACAAAGAGCTGGGCTCACCACACCCGTGGAAGCTGCGAGCTCTTTGAAAAATAAGATGTGTCTGAATCTGGGTGATGGACTCAGGCCCAGCCCAGGTCAGCGTGGAACCCAAGGGGCACAGCACGGCTGCACGAGGCGCCCCCCGCCCCGCGCACCCCAAGGCCTCTGCCCTCCCAGGAGTGAGCCCCACATGGACCGTCACGTCCACAGGCTGCTCTTTCGTCCCTACGGGAGACACGTCACAACCCAGATCTGAAACTTTGTCTAAAGCCCCCGGAACTTTTCCAAACACGATTCCTGGTCCACATCCCAGCACTGTTGGCTGGGCGAGATCTTGTAGGATCGGCCACTGGGGGCCAGCCCGGCCCTGCCGCCTGTGGATGTCTCCCCACCTCGAACAGCAACCCACACGTGACACTCAGCGTCCTACTCATGGTGGATGCCAGTCCGCTATTGACACCTGATTTAAATATTTTCTTTCACACGCTGGGCTGACTTTTCACCCTCTTGACACTGTCGTTTTTTCTTTTCTTTTCTTTACTTTTTTTTTTTTTTTTTTTTGTGAGACAGAGTCTCACTCTGTTGCCCGGGCTAGAGTGCGATGATATCAGCCTAGCTCACAGCAACCTCAAACTCCTGGGCTCAAGCGATCCTCCTGCCTCAGCCTCCCGAGTAGCTGGGATTACAGGCATGCACCACCGTGCCTGGCTAATTTTTTCTATATATTTTTAGTTGGCCAATTAATTTCTTTCTATTTTTAGTAGAGATGGGGTTTCACTCTTGCTCAGGCTGGTTTCGAACTCCTGATCTTGAGTGATCCTCCCGCCTCGGCCTCCCAGAGTGCTAGGATTACAGGGGTGAGCCACCGTGCCTGGCCTTGATACTGTCATTTGAAGCACAAAAGTTTTTACTTCTGATAACGTATTTTTCCTTTGTTGCTTATGCTTTTGGTGCATATCTAAGAATGCATCACCAAATCCAAGGCTGTGAAGATGCAACCCTGTTTTCTTCTAAGAGTTTTATTATGATCTCAGCTCTGTTAGACTTCGGTCTTGGATCCATTTTTCATTAATTTCTGTGTGTTGTGTGAAGCAAGGATCCAACTTCATTCTTCTGCACGTGGATGTCCAATGCCCCAGCACCACTGGTACAGACTGTTCTGTCTCTGCCGCTGTCTTGGCGCTCTTGTCCAAACTGCGAGTGCCCGGGTTTGTTTCTGGACTCTCAATTCCATATCCCAGGCCTGGACGTATGTCCTACGGCAGCGCCACACGGTGTTTGCAGCGCTCTCCTGCAGTGGGGGTGTGAGCCCTTCTGCTCTGCTCTCCTTCAAGGTGGCTTTGCCTGCTCTGGGCACCCTGCATTTCTGCGTGAATTTAAGGTTCAGCTCATCAATTTCTGCAAAGGAGCCAGCTGGGATTCTATAAATCAAGGCAATCCCCATCAAAATTATTGACTATTAGGCCGGGCGCTGTGGCTCACGCCTGTAATCCTAGCTCTTGGGAGGCCGAGGCGGGCGGATTGCTCAAGGTCAGGAGTTCAAAACCAGCCTGAGCAAGAGCGAGACCCCGTCTCTACTATAAACAGAAAGAAATTAATTGGCCAACTGATATATATATATATAAAATTAGCCGGGCATAGTGGCACATGCCTGTAGTCCCAGCTACTCGGGAGGCTGAGGCAGAAGGATCACTCGAGCCCAGGAGTTTGAGGTTGCTGTGAGCTAGGCTGACGCCACGGCACTCACTCTAGCCTGGACAACAAAGTGAGACTCTGTCTCAAAAAAAAAAATTATTGACTATTGAACAATACGAAGTCTTCTGATCCATGAATATAAGAACCTTTTCTATTTATTTAGGTCTTCTTTAGCATCATTCAACAACATCTTGTAGTTTCTCCTGCATGTCTCTCCCGGTCACGGGGCCGCAGAGAGCCAGCGAGGAGTTGGGGATGAGAGCCAGAAGCCCCCAGGAGCACATCAGGGCAGACAGCGTGAGCAGGGTGCAAGCTCCCCTGGTATCTGCGGTTCTCTGACCAGGAATCGAGCTCTTTCCCCCTGCCCTTCTCTCTAAAACATAAGTTAGGCAGAAGAAATGTGCTATCCCTGAAATGTTCTAGAAATGACATCTAGTCCAGCCCACGTCCTCTAGGGTCCAGCTAAAAACCAATCCTTCAAATAAAAGAGTCAATGCAATGGATACATCCCTAGCCAGACTTAGGGTAAAAAAGAAAGGACAGAAATTGCCACTGTCAGAAATTGGAGGTGACACCCCCACAGACGTTAAAAGGATAATAAGGAAATATTAGGAATAACTTTATGCCGATGAATTCAACAACTTAGGTGAAATGGACCAATTCTTTAAAAGACACTGACTGTCAGAGTTCACTCAGGAAGAAATAAATGATTTGAACAGCCTTACGTCTGACAGCCTGCAGATCACGTCTGACAGCTTAAAAGTAAATTGGCTTTCAAATCAACCCATCTTGGGAAGGTCTCGTGGTCCATGGTGACATCCTGTCCCTGAGTAAAGAACCTCGCCACGAGTTCCTCAACTTGCTGGCACGTTGATCAGCGCACCAGGAATCGCAGCTTCACTGGTCGTCCTGCACAGAGACGTTCAGCCTGTGCGTTGCGAGATGCACCCAGCGAGCGTGACTTCCGCACGGGGCCTTCCAACGGGCAGGGACAGCCCCGGTGTGACGAGTCCCCGACCTCCTCCTGGATATTCCAGCTTGTGACAGACGGAAATCCCCAAACTTGCTGGTGTGTTTTCTCAAGTGGATCCTCACACTGGCTTCCAATAAACCTCTACCAAATTGTTTCTGCTTCGACAGCTTTAATTTCAGTCAACACGGCAATAGAATGGAATTTATAGAGGGGAAAAACATTCCTACAGAGACAATTCAAGGCTCAGGTGTTTTCGGTGCTGAATTCTGCCAAACATTTAAGGAATAAATGATACCAATTCGACACAAACTCTTCTAGATAATTAAAGGGCAGGAAGTACATTCCACTTCATTCCTCAGGCCAACACTCACCTGATACCCAAACCAGAAAATGATATTACAAGAAAACTACAGAACACCATCCCTCATAGGTAGCTCAAATTCTTAACAAAATTTTAGCAGACTGAATCTAACAGCACAAAAAATACTACATTATTACGTCATGACCAAATGGGTTTTATCTCAGGGATAGAAGGTTGGTTTAACACTCAAAAATCAACAACTATGATGTACCATAATAACAGATTACAAATGAAAACCAAATGCTCATCTCAATAGATGCAAAAAAAAGCATCTGATAAAATCCAGCATCCATCATGATAAATAAACAAACCAGAACTTAAAGGGAACATCTCGGCCTGATGAAGGACGTCGCAGAAACCTCAGCCAGTGAGGATGGTTCTGGGCTGAAAGCTTCCCTGCATCAGGAAAAGACAAGGGTGTCCACCGTCACCACTGCTTTTCAACATTGTTCTAGCACTTCTAGCCAGTGCAATAAGACAAGAAAAAGAAAGAAACAGCATACAAATTGGGAATGACACAATAAACTTGTCTTCATTCACAAACAACATAATCATCTCTATGGAAAATCCTAAGGAAGGCCAGGCACAGTGGCTCATGCCTGTAATCCTAGCTCTCTGGGAGGCCGAGGCAGGCAGATTGCTCAAGGTCAGGAGTTCGAAACCAGCCTGAGCAAGAGTGAGACCCAATCTCTACTATAAATAGAAATAAATTAATTGGCCAACTAATATATATAGAAAAAATTAGCCGGGCATGGTGGCACATGCCTGTAGTCCCAGCTACTCAGGAGGCTGAGGCAGCAGGATTGCTTGAGCCCAGGAGTTTGAGGTTGCTGTGAGCTAGGCTGACGCCATGGCACTCACTCTAGCCTGGGCAACAAAGTGAGACTCTGTCTCAAAAAAGAAAAAAAAGAAAATCCTAAGGAATCTACAGAAAAATCTACTAGAACAAATGAATTAGTTTAGTAAGGTGTCAGGCTATAAGGCGGTGTTAGTCAGGGTTCCTCAGAGAAACACAACCAACAAGAGGTGTGTGTGTGATGAGATCACCATGAGGAACTGGCTCAGATCACGGGGGCTGGGCATGGTGGCTCATGCCTGTAATCCTAGCACTCTGGGAGGCCAAGGTGGGCAGATCACTCAAGGTCAGGAGTTCAAAACCGGCCTGAGCAAGAGCGAGACCCCGTCTCTACTAAAAATACAAAGAAATTAATTGGCCAACTAAAAATATATAGAGGAAAAAAAATTAGCCGGGCATGGTGGTGCATGCCTGTAGTCCCAGCGACTCAGGAGGCTGAGGCAGGAGAATCGCTTGAGCCCAGGAGTTTGAGGTTGCTGTGAGCTAGGCTGATGCCACAGTACTCTAGCCCGGGCAACGCAGTGAGACTCTGTCTCAAAAAAAAAAAACAGAAGATCACCGGGGCTGCAGCCGGCCAGTGGAGAGCCCACGTGCCCTGTGAGTCCCGCAGCAGGTGGGCAGCGGTTCTCTCCTACTAGAGGGAGGGTCGGCCTTTCGTGCCACGCCACTGACGGGGTGAGGCCCACTCGCATGGGGAGGGCAACCTGCTCCATTCATTCTACCAACTTAAATGTTAATCTCACACAAAAACGCCCTCACAAACACACTTAGAATAACGGCTGCCCTGTGGCCCAGTCAACTTGGTCTACAAACTTAACCATCACGTGGGAAAACATATAAAGCTCAGCTGTGTTACTGTATACTGGAAACAAACATCAGAATTTCATACTGATAAAAACAATATGATTTATTGTAGCATCAAAAAATACGAAATACTGGTTGGGAGCAGTGGCTCAGGCCTGTAACCCCAGCACTCTGGGAAGATGAGGCGGGTGGGTCACTTGAGCTCAGGAGTTGGAGACCAGCCTGAGCAAAAGTGAGACCCCATCTCTTCTAAAAATAAAAAAATTAGCCAGGCATGGAGGTGGTGCCAGTAGTCCCAGCTACTCAGGAAGCTGAAGCTGAAGGATCACTTGAGCCCAGGAGTTTGAGGTTGCAGTGAGCTATGATGACATCACTGCACTCTAGCCTGGGCAACAGAGTAAGACTCTGTCTCAAAGAAAAACACACACACACACACACACACACATATATATAATACTAAGATGTGTACATAGAAAACTATAAAACATTGCTGATAAAATTGTTAAAGACTTAAATGAACAGATACTTATAGTGTTCATCAAAGGAGCCAATGTTGCTAAGGTGTCATTTCTCTGAAAATTGATCTAATTGGTCTATAGGCCCAGGATAATCTCGATCAAAATCCCAGCAAGATTTTTTTGTAGAAATGGACAAGCTAATTCTAAAATTTGTATGGAAATGCAAAGGACCTAAAATAGCCAGAAAAATATTGAAAAAGGAGGACAAAGTTGAAGAACTTACATTACCTGATTTATAGTCTTATTATAAAGCTACAGGAATCTCACACACGTGGACCCAACATAGATAAATGGAACCACATGGAAAGTCTGGAAACAGACTCACACACGTATGGACAATGGATTTTTGACAAAACTGTCCAGGCAATCGATTGGAAAAGGATAATCTGTTCAAGCTCTAGTGCTAGAAGAAGTGGGTATCTATATGCAAACCTCACACCACGATACACAAAAATTAACTTGGGTTGCCCAGAGACCTAAATGCAAAACCTAAAGCTATAAAATTTCTAGAAAAACACATAGGAGAGAATCTTTGTGACCTTTAGTTTGGCAAAGATTTCTTAAATTGAACATAAAAAGCATGAAATACCAAAGAAAATCAGTAAACTGGACTTCAGCAATTTAAACAGTTTTGCTTATCAAAAAATATTATTATGAAAATGGAAAAACCATAGACCAGAAGCCCATGTCTGCAAAATATATACCCAGAAAGAGACTTGTACCCAGAATACATAAAGAACTCTTAAAACTCCACAGGAAGCAGAGGAGCAACCCAATTTTTTTTTTTTTTTTTGAGACAGAGTCTTACTCTGTCGCCCGGGGTAGAGTGAGTGTCGTGGCATCATCCTAGCCCACAGCAATCTCAAACTCCTGGGCTCAAGCAATCCTCCTGCCTCAGCCTCCTGAGTCGCTGGGACTACAGGCATGTGCCACCGTGCCCGGCTAATTTTTTCTATATATTTTTAGTTGGCCAATTAATTTCTTTGTATTTTTAGTAGAGACGGGGTCTCACTCTTGCTCAGGCTGGTCTCAAACTCCTGACCTTGAGTGATCCTCCCACCTCGGCCTCTCAGAGTGCTAGGATTACAGGCATGAGCCACTGTTCCTAGCCCCAATTTTTTAATAAAAAGACGGGCAGAAGATGAGGACAGGACAGCCCTGGACCCTGGCCTCCCGCCCGGCTCTCCCCACCCAGATGGAGAAGCCGGGCCCACCAGGTGCCCCTGAGCCCACCGTACCGCTGAGGTAGTAGCTCCTCCTGGGCCTGTCCCCGGTGGGCAGGCTGCTCTCCGAGAAGCACACCTTCTTGGGCCGGGCTGTGCCCCTGGGCTCCAGCATGGCCTTGTCACCCAGCGAGTTCTGCAAGGGGCTCAGGAGTGGGGACAGCATCCCGTCGTTGTCTCGGGGGGTGCGCAGCTCCTGGGGGCTGAGGAAGGCCTTGAAGGGCGCCTGGGAGGGGACGGCGCAGCCTGGGGAGCTGTCGTCCTCGCTGGAGAGGGGCGCATGCGAGCACAGCAGGTCCTCCAGGGAGGACGTCTGCAGCTGGGAGGGCACGTCGGGGACACTGGCGAACCTTCCGAAATCTGGAACTGGGGCGGGAGGAAAGGGACGAGAAGTCAGGCTGATGCTCCTAAGATATCCCAAGAAGGTGCGAGGACACCTTAGGGCACCCTCTCGCACCCAGCCCCAAGCCCTGAGGCCGGCTGGCGTTTTCCCGGCTTCAGAGCCCTCTTGCGTCCCCCCAGCCTCTCGAGGAGGAGCTGCTGGAGGAGGGCGAAGTGGCTGCAGGCCCCGTGCTGCCCACGGGCACAGGGCACCACCACCACCATGAGCTCCTGCCCACGTGTGCAGCCACAGGCCACGGAGCGGCTTCTGCAAGCCCCTCTCGTTTCATACAAATGTGTCCCCGGTGTGTTTTGCTCTGCACAGAACTTTCTGCTACGGCATCACCTCTTAACAGTTTGCCCATCTCAAGTCATCTGGTAGCTACCTGGCTCGTTTGGCCATTTCTCAGCACACGTGTACACTTGAGCACACATGTGCACATACATGCGCACACAGTGACATTTTATCATTGCCCTGTTGGTGGACATGGGGCTATTTCAGGGTTTTTTTTGTTTGTGTTTGTTCTTGTGCTTGTGGTTTGGCTTTTTTGAGACAGCAGTTCGTCGCTTTGTTGCCAGGCTTACGAGTGCAGTGCCGTCGGGTCAGCCTCGCGCTCAGCGAGTGCAACCTCAAACCCTGGTGGCTCAAGCGATGCCTCCGTGCCTCAGGGCCTCCGATCCGAGCTAGCTGGCTGACTACAGGCATGCGTGGCCCCGATGCCCGGGCCTATTTTTTCTATATATGTTAGATTGGCGCCACATTAAATTCTTTCTCCTCATTAAGTGAGAAAACGGCGGCGTCTCTGCTCTTGCCTCAGCTTGTTTTGAGAACTCACGGTGACCTCAGAAAGCGATCACCCGCCTCACCCTACCGAGTGCTAGATTACAGGCCGTGACCACCCGGCCGCCAGCCGGCCTAATTGTCAGTTTTCTTATAAAAGGAAAGCCTGCTGAACCAGGGCCTTCTGGGTGCTCACTCCGCCGAGGGCGTCCGCGTCCACCGCCCCACACCTGGGCTCCACGCGGGCGTCCTCCACAGCCCACACTGGGCTCAGGTGGCGTCCTCCACCACGCCCACACCTGCGGCTTCCAGGGGGGTCCTTCCACAGCCCAGACCAGGGTCGCTCGTTAGGGTCGTCCCCCACAGCCCACACCTGGGCTCGAGGGCGTCCTCCACCAGGGCCCACCACCTGCCGGCTCAGAGGGCGCTCCACAGCCCACACCTGTGGGCTCAGGGGCGTTCCTCACAGGGCCCACACCTGGCTCGGCAGGGGCGTCCTCCCAGGCCACACCTGGGCTCGCGCAGCGGGCGTGCCTCCATCCAGGCCCACACCAGGGGGTCAGGGGGCGTCTCCATACAGCCCACACCTGGGGCTCCGAGGGCGCGGCGGGTCGCCACAGCCGCTTCTGTCACTTCTCTCTTTTGGGGCTCAGGGCGTTCCTGTCACGCCCGCAACCTGGGCTCAGGGGGCGTTCCTCCACCGCCCACGCACCTGGGCTCGGCGAGGGCGTCCTCCAGCGGCCCACACCTGGCTTCAGGGCGTCGTGCCACAGCCCACACCTGGGCTCAGGGCGCGTCGTCCACAGCCCACACCTGGTCAGGGGCGTCCCTCCACAGCCCACACCTGGGCTCAGGGGCCGTCTCCACAGCCCACACTGGCTCAGGGGCGTCCTCCACCGCCCACCCACCAGGGGCAGGGGCGTCGTCCACAGCCACACCAGGGTCAGGGGCGTCGTGCCACAGCCCACACCTGGGTCAGTGGCGTCCTGCCACAGCCACACCTGGGCTCAGGGCGTCCGTCCACAAGCCGCCACACTGGGTCTCAGCGGGAGTCCCTCCACCGCCTACCACCTGGGCTCAGGGGCGTCCTTCCACATCCACACCAGGGGTCAGGGGCGTCGCCCACAAGCCCACACCTGGGCTCAGGGCGTCCTCCACCGCCTACACCGGAGTCGCTCAGCATCCCTCCACACCACACTGGCTCAGGCTCCTCCACAGCCCCACACCTGGGCTAGGGGCGTTCCTCCTATCCCCCTACCCACCTCTCAGGGCGTCCTCACAGCCCACACCTGGCTCCAGGGGCGTCCTCCACAGCCCACAACCTGTGGCTCGAGGGGCGTCCGTCCCATCCGCCTACCAGCCTGGGCTTCAGGGCGTCCTTCCACAGCCCACACCAGGAGTCAGCGTCTTCCACATTTTCGTTGTGTTCAGGGCGTCCTCCACAGCCACACCTGGGTCACGTGCCTCCACAGCCCACACCTGGGCTCCTGAGGGGGCGTTTCCTTCCACAGCCCAACCTTGGCTGAGGCGTCCTCCACAGCCCACCACCAGTCAGGGCGTCCTCCACAGCCCACGAACGTGGGTCGAAGCCGCGTCCGGTCGAGCAGCCCCCACACAGGCGTCAGCGTCGCGTCCACAGCCGCGGGAGCGGGCTTTCGCTCAGGCTCCTCCACAGCCCACACCAGGGGTCAGGGCGTCCTCCGCACAGCCCGCGACCTGGGCTCAGTCAGGGGCGCGTCCTCCACAGGCCCGGCACCTCGGTCGGGCGTCCTCCACCGCCCGCACCTGGGGCTCAGGGGTCCTCCGCACCGCCCCACACCGTGGGCTCCAGGAGCGTCCTCCACGCGCCGCGCACCTGGGCTCAGGGGCGTCCTCCACCAGCCACACCGTGGCGCTCAGGGGCGATCCTCCCAGCCCACACCAGGGGGTGCAGGGGCGTTCCCTCACATCCTGCACCTGCCAGGGCTTCCCTCCCCACTGCCCACACTGGCTCGGGTCCCTCCACAGCCCACACCTGGGCTCAGGGGCGTCCGCCACTGCCCACACCTGGGCTCAGGAGCGTGCGCATTTCTCCTTCTCTGCTTCCCACGCTGACAGTGGAAGGTCCGTGTCCACCCGCAGCTGCTGATCCCGTAACCTCACCAGCACCTGGTCTTCCCAACCCAGGCTGCTGAGGTCACGTGGGCGTTCCCTAACCCCTGGTGAAATTTAACTTACCTGTTCCTTTATGGCTCATGAAACCCCTTTCTACCCCTGAGTTTATTCTCCTAGCAACAAAGTATATCCATATTTGACAACAGTGTTAAGAACTATGTCAAAAAATTATATCTTAAAATGTGTCTATGAAAGAACCAACTAATCTGGCCCCAGAAATGTTTTCAAAGAGAAAAAAAGTTCAAAAGCAGCAAAGTCCTGTGTGTGGCCTGCCTCCCGCCCACGCGGGTACCAGCCAGGCCCCACTGCCTCCCACCCAGGGACTTAACATTCCTGTTACCCACAATTGTATTTTTTTAAAAATAATATTTCATTTTCTTTATTTATTTTTTCTTTTTTATTCGATTCTATCTCTTTTGGTTAACAATTGTATCTTTTTTTTTTTTAACAGGATTGGTGCTGTCCCAACCAATTGTATCTTAATTTACAATTCCAATAAATAAAAAGTATCTTCTGGGAAATTACTTTTTTTTTTAAGAGATACGATCTTGCTCTGTCTCCCAGGCTGGAGTGCAATTCAGTATACCCTTGAACTCCTGGGCTTGGGCAAGCCTCCTGCCTCAGCCTCCCAAGTAGCGAGGACCACAGGCACACACCAACATACCCAGCTGACTTTGTAAGTTTTTGTAGAGACAGGATCTTGTTATGTTGTTCAGGCTGCTCTCAAATTCCTGGCATCAAGCCATCCTCCTCCTGGGCCTCCCAAAGTGCTGGGACTACAGGCATGAGCCACCACACCCAGCTAGAAATTACTTTTAAATGGCTTAATAAATAGCCTAAATTAACCAATAAACAAAGAAGAAAAATCTAAAAGTTATAGGACAATGATCCCCAAAGGGCTACGGGCCCGGGAGGTCTGGGGCAAGCTCTGTCAAGTTCCCAGGCAATTCCTCACCCCTGCATCACAAAAAACCAGTTGGAAGTCTGGAAAATATTAAAAGATGCTCAGTTAAGGCCGGGCACTGCAGCTCACACATGTAATCCTCCGGGAGGCCATGGCCCACTCCGGGAGGCCAAGGTGGGCAGATTGCTCAAGGTCAGGAGTTCGAGACCAGCCTGAGCAAGAACGAGACCCCTATCTCCACTAAAAATTGGAAGAAATTAATTGGCCAACTAAAAATATATAGAAAAAATTAGCCGGGCATGGTGGCCTATGCCTGTAATCCCAGCTACCTGGGAGGCTGAGGCAGGAGGATCACTTGAGCCCAGGAGTTTGAGTTTGTTGTGAGCTAGGCTGATGCCATGGCACTCACTCTAGCCTAGGAAACAGAGTAAGACTCTGTCTCCAAAAAAAAAAAAATTAAAAAATGCTCAGTTAAGGTTCAAACTTTGTCACAATTTCACTATCAAATTCCCACAAAGACAACCCCAGAAAGAAAACCGTAGCCAGGCTCACATAAAAATAGAGTCCAGAAATAATGGCACGAAACCTTCTCCAAACCTGGCCGGGAGCAGACTGCGAGAGGCAGAGCCCAGCAGCTGTGTGGCAGCAGGTCCCCACGGACAGGCCCCAGGGAAAGCTGAGGGCACCACCGCTGATACCGAGACAGGGTCACAAAACTGAACACATGAGCCGTTCCTCAGTCGCTTTTGGTCTTTAGCACTGAAGGGCTGAAAGGACTGTTCCCCGGCACGGGCTAGTGCCCCTCCACCCTGGGAGACCGGCCCGTCCCCCTCCACCCTGGGGGACCGGCCGGTGCCCCTCCACCCTGGGGGACCGGCCGGTGCCCCTCCACCCTGGGAGATTGGCCAGTGCCCCTCCACGCCGGTCAAGCCTCCACCAGGGGCAGGGGACGCGGAGCCCCCTCCTCCGTCCCCAGGAAGCCCAGTGAGTCTAGGCGGGAACCGGGTGCTGGGTCACAAAGGCAGAGGCAGAATTGGAAGGGCCTGTGCTGGAACCTCACCTAAAATGGACATTGCAAATCCTGCCAGTGTAGACAGGAAATGTGAGAGGATGGACTAGAAACCGCGGTGGAGTGACAACCTCAGGGAGTGGCTGGACGGGGACGCACGTCCACAAATCAGCAGCCTCCTGCATGCCGACGCTGACCACTCTGCGGACACGCTGGGCAAGACGGCGCCCCACAATCGCGATGAATGACGTGAAATGCATCAAGAATGTTAAGTTAGCCTGTCAAACTTACGCCTTATTGATAAACGTGAAAGATGCACATGTGGGAAGTAGCTGAACAGACTTACGGGCCAGGACGGCCTCATATAGGCTGGGCGCAGTGGCTCATGCCACAATCCCAGCGCCTTGGGGGGCTGAGGCAGGAGTTTCAGATCAGCCTGGGCAACATAGTGAGACCCTATCTCTACCCAAAAAATAGCTTAATATAACTGCAATGTATGAAACCATCAAGGATATTTAAAGGATAAATAGGTAAAAATGCCATAAAATGTATGTAAAAAATATATCCCTTCCTTCTAAATGAGTGATTCTACTTTTAGAAAAATAAAGCCAAAGGAAATAACCCTAAATTTAAAAAAATTAAAAAAAAAAAACTTTTTGCAGGGTTATTTACCTGGGGGATGAAGAACTATAACTTCAACCATGAGCACGTTACTGAATAAGTAAGAAGAACAGGTTTCTAAAGCACACGTCCTGCTCTGAACACAGCCGCTCAGGGACTCTTGGGAACGGTTCCTGCTCCCTATGAACTCGTCTTACTGCATGAGCTCAGCGCCGGTTTTCTGGAGTCCTGGGGGTCGGGAACATCCCCAAGCACTGGCCGGCTCAGGCCCAGAACAGAGAGGGCGGCCCTGGCCAGGCCCCTCCCTGGCGAGGATGCGCTGGGCCCACCCTGAGCTGGGCTCCCAGGCTCTGCGGGAGGCGCGGTGGCCCCGGGCGGGGGCTGCCCTGAGTCAGGGTCCCACGAGATCTGGGCTTGCTGGGGGCTGCGGGCGGGGGCGCTGGCCATGGTCACGGAGACCCCGGCCCCTCTCCAGACAGCATGGCCTATATAGGGGAGGACCCCAGCACTCTGGGCGGCCAAGCACACGGTCAGCTCTGAGCCCGGAGGAGGCCCAGCCAGGTGCGACGTGATTCCTGTGCCAGGACAAGGAGGGGGACAGGGCCTCAGTGTGCTGGTGTGCCCGCAGGACTGGGAAACAAGCACCTCTGCAGCCACAAGACACACGGGCCTCCAGGGCGCCGGTGAGCCCAGCACCAACACTCACTCATACGGCCCCGTGCCACGAGCACCAGTCCCTGCGGCAAACATCCGGTGGCCGGCGTGGGGGGCTCTGTGGCTGCTGGGGACTCAGGACTTGGGCCCTGTGGACACTGGGGCCTTCAGCCCCGTGCTGTGTCAGTGGCACACTCTGGGCCCCTCCTGGTGAGGCGCTCGCCCCTGCTCGCCCCGGCAAGGAGCCCCTGCCATGCAGACCCCTCATCAAGGCCCCTGGAGACTGAGGGTCCGATGCCAGGACTGACCCCTGCACCCCACACTGCCCCTCCCAGGGACAGGACCCCCACAGCGACTCGGCAGGGCCCTCCCTCTGGGCCGGGCACCCTCGGCGCCAGGCTCACTTTGGCAGATGTCGTGAGAGCAGATGCTGCATGACAGAGGCGTGAAGTTCCTGTGGCCACCGCAGGAGCGGTCAGCTCCTGGGCACGGTCAGCTGCCCCTTCCGGGTTCCACCAGCCTCTGTGATTCCCGTCTTGTCCCCCGTGGGAGCCCTTCTGGGACAGCGGCCAACCCCGAGCTCCTCCCGCTGGCCGGGTGTGGCCTTGGTGGCCCAGAGTGAGGGGCCCTCCCTGGGGACCCGCAGCAGAAGTGGCAGCGTGGTCCTGGCTGACTCAGACCACCCGCATCTGCAGGCCAGGCCCTGCCGCCCTGCGCGGCCACCCCACCTCCCGGCACCCGTGCGCAAGGCCGGGCTCACCTGCACTCGCGGGGGAGCAGGCCTCGGGGTAGCCGGGGGCCTTAGGGAACAGCAGGTCCCGGCCGGCGCGGCCGCAGCTCTCCTGGCAGCTCTCGTTGAGCAGCCGCTTCAGCATCTGGTTCTCCTTCAGCAGCCGCACCTGCTTCTTCAGGTCCGCATTCTCGCTCATCAGCCTGCTCATCAGCTCGCTGCGCTCCGCCATGGTGTGCCCCGGCGCGCCCCTGCGGCTCAGCCCATGGAGGTGGAGTCCCAGCCCACAGACTCCACAGGTGCAGCTGCATGGAGTTCCACCGGCTTCCACGCCTTGTGATGTCGCTGCCCTTAAAGAGGCGGCGCCGCCCCAGCCGCCCCTCCCCCCAGATGTCCCTTGGGGCCAACATGGACCAGGCCTGGCCCTGGTGACAGCCCCAGCCGCCCCTCCCCCCAGATGTTCCTTGGGGCCAACGTGGACCAGGTCTGGCCTGGTGAGAGCAGAGAAGTGAGGGGCCCACCCAGCACGCACCTGGAACACCATGAGATGGACCTGCGGGCCAAGGGGGCCACTCAGGAACAGCCGGACAGCAGGACTCTGCCCTCACCCCGAGGGGCCGGGGCGGGGCTGCCACACCTGCCTCAGCACTCGCCTCCAGGCAGCGGACCCAGCGCGTCCCTGGCTCTGTGGGGCCGGCAGAGGCAGAAGGCAGGCCAGCCGAGTCCCAAGGGGCCGATGCTCATTGGGGCCCCTGAGGAAGGAGGGGGGCAGTGAGGGGCCGTCAGAGGCCACCTGCTGGCCACATCCCCTCCGGAGGGGCCTGGGCAGGACGTCCGTGTCCACCACATGGACCACGCGCGCTGAGGGTCTCAGACGCCGACCACTGCTAACGGCGCGTCACTACCTGGCCCTGAGCGAAGGCCTCAGGACCAATCACGCACAGCCCTGCCATGGTCCTGCTTGAGACCACCGTGAAACCGTCTCGACTCTCGGCTTCCACAATTACTTGGGAGGTAAACACACTCAGCCTGGCCCCTCTGCTCTGCAGGTCTTGTTCTACCGGCAGCCAAGAGGCAGCCGGGCGTCTCCCCCTCCTCCTCGTGGGGGATGCAGCCTGAGAACACGTGTCCTCCACCCTCCACAGCAAGGGCGCTTGGGGCAGGCGGTGGAGGGGCCCGACGGCCAAGCTAGCGTACAGTCGCTGCAAGGAGAGGCAGGCTTTATGGAGAAGGGGGATTTCTAAACCCCAGGCGCCCCTTACGGAACCTGAGACCAGCCTCGTAGCCAGAGCCACGGGGCTCCATCCCCAGGTCAGAGCAGCGGGACTCAGTGCCCACTGAGGCAGGGTGTGCGGGGGCTTCCTGGACACCAGGTCTGGTCACTCCTCCCTAAGGCCAGCGGGGACTTGAGCCACTGTCCCCCCGGCCCCTGCCACCATATTTAAGATGCTGTCTTCTTCCCACTCCAGGGAACCTTCTCTGATGCCACTACCACTCCAGCCACGCACCCGCCAGCGCTTGGACAGGCTGCCCGCCATGCCTCACTGCCGCCACATTGCTGGATCCTGCTGTTAACATGTGTTAAGTGTCACTGTGTTCATGAGGGACCTGACCCGAGTCTCCTGTCCTTGTAATGTCTGGGTCTGGTTTGGTCACACGGGCTTCACACGGTGAGCTGCCCAGTGTCCCTACTCTACCTCCTGGGTGTTTGTGTTGGACCGTTGCTTCACTCTTAAATATTTGATTGACTTCACCAGCGAACCCATCTGGGTCTGGATTTCTCCTGGGAAAGTTTTAAATTCCTAATTCATTTTCTTAAATAGATACAAGGCTGCTTAAATTTTCTGTTTTTTCTCCTGTCCGCTTTGATAACAACTGTCTTTCACAGAATTTGCCCATTTCCTGTAAGTGGTGGAATCCTGGCATCAATTCTGGAGACCCCCTTGATATGCCCTCTGCAGTCTCCCAATCCCAGACAGGAAACCAGAAGTGGACATGCAGAAGCCGTGCAGAAGCCGTGTGCGCAGGTGGCTTCCGTAGGACACGCAGAGGCAGGGTGAGGAGAGCGGAGTGCCCAGAGCCAGCGTCTCGGGGGCCGTGCGGAGCACAACCTCAGCAGAGAGGCTGGACGCGGCCTGTTGGGTCCCCAGCTATGCACCTTTTTATTCCCGATACAGGCCGTTTCCTTCTTTACTTGCTCAAATTACAGGCTCATTAATCTTTTCCAAGCACCAACTTCTGGATTCATTGATTTACCCTGTTATGTTTTGTTTCTTATTGCATTTGACTTGTGCTCTTGTATTTCCTTCCTTTCTACTTACTGTGGTTTAAGCTTCTTAAGCGGGAAGCTCAGATCCCTGACTTGAGGCCTTTGTTACTGACTTACAGCCTGTTTAGGTACATCCCGCAAATCTTGACGTCACATTTTAATTTTCACTCAGCTGAAAATATTTTCTAATTTCCCTTATGCTTTCATCCTTCTCACTTAAAGACTTTAATTACTTTTAGAACAGTATTAGGTTCACAGCAGGGTTGAGAGGAAGGTACAGAGAGCACCCCCCCATGCACCACGTTCCCCAGCATCAACATGCCCCACGGAGGGACACTTGTGAGAGCTGCCGACCCCACACTGACGCGTCATCATCACCCAGTGTTTGTGGCTTGCGTCAGGGTGCACACTTGGTGACACACGTTCCACAGGTTTGGACAAATGTGTGACGACACGCACCCGCCATGGCAGCGTCACACAGAGCAGAGTCACCGCCCTGACCTCCACTGCACTTGCTACCGTCTGCTTTTTCTGGAATGTCCCACAGTTGGAGTCACACGCATGCAGCCTTTCCGACTGGCTTCTTCCACTTAGTCGCATGCACCTAAGGCTCCTCCAAGCCCTTTCACGGCTCGGTCGCGCGTTTCTTTTTGGTGCTGGATGATATTCCGTCTTCTGGACGTGCCACAGTTTACCCACTCACCTACTGAAGGATGTCCTGGGCGCTTCCAAGTTTTGGCGATTACGAATATGAGCACTATAAACATCCTTGTAAGGGTTTCTGTGTGGGCGTGAGTTTTCAGCTCCTCTGCGTGAATGCCGAGAGATGGCTGGATTCTAAGGTAAGAGCACATTCAGTTTCGTAAGAAGCTGCCAAACTGCCTTTCAAAGCAGCTGCACGATTTTACATCCCACCAGTCGGGGGAGTTCCTGTTACTATGGGGCCATGCGAACAGGTGTTAGAGCACCCAGGTGTGCTAGCGTGCACTGTGACATGGGGTGTCTTCTCAGATGCTCATTTGCCATCTGCTAATCTTCTTTGGTGAGAAGATGTCTGTTAAGGTCTTTGGCTCATGTTTTTATCATGTTGTTTTCTTTTTTTTTTTTTTTGAGACAGAGTCTTACTCTGTTGCCCAGACTAGAGTGCCGTGGCGTCGGCCTAGCTCACAGCAACCTCAAACTCCTGGGCTCAAGCAATCCGCCCGCCTCGGCCTCCCAGAGTGCTAGGATTACAGGTGCGAGCCGCCACGCCCTGCAATCACATTGTTTTCTTATCGTGGAGTTTTAAGGGTTCTTTCAGGTAACAATCTTTTAGCAGATGTGCTTTTTTAGATATTTTCTCCCAGTCTCTGACTTGTTTCATTCTCTCGACAGTGTCTTTTGCAGAGCAGAGATTTTTAATTTTGATTAAGTCCAACTTACCAATGTTTCCTTTCATGGATCGTACCCGTGGTATCACATGTAAATGGTCATCGCCAAATCCACGGGGACCTAGATTCTCCTACCCGATGTTCTAGGGGTTTTATGGTTTTGCGTTTTACACTGAGGTCTGCATCCCTGTTGAGTTGACTTTGTGCAGGGTCCAAAGCCTGTGTCCAGATTCACTTTTCCACATACGGATGTTTGGCTGCTTCACCACGAGTTGATAAGACTGTCCTTCCCCTGTGGAGCTGCCTTTGTTCCTTTGCCGAAATGCAGCTGTGTGCGTGTGGGCTGCCTGGGCCCCCCGATCTGTCCCCCGACCGGCTGTTCCACCACTGCACTGTCCCGACCGCGGTGGCTGCCAGGTCAGGCTCGGGCCAGCAGTGGCCGTCCCCGACATTGCTCCCCGTGCTCTCACCAGTGACCACGGCTTACTCGGAAGCCTGTTGTTTCACGTCCAAATATTTGGAACTTTACAAATCTCTTTGTTGCTGACTCTAACTTCACTGTGGTCAGACCACAGTCTGCGATTTCCATCCTTTTCCATCTCTGGAGGGTCTTCTCATGACTCGGCACACGTGTGTATGGTGCATGGTCCACGTGAGGAGAACGCGGCTTCACCACCGCAAGTTAACCTGTTCTACACATGCCGTCAGCTCGTGGTCAAATCCACATCCTCACAGATCTTCCGACTATCAGTTGTGCACTGTGTATGTGTCTAATCCTCTTCAGTCCTGGAGCTTTGCTCCATGTGTTCTGACGCTGTTACTGAGTACATACGTGTTCAGGACTGTCTTGATAAAGTGACCCTCTTGTCATTACTAAATGTCCCTTTACTTATTTCTGGTACTATTCCTCGTCCTAAAGGCTACTTTGATATTAATATCAAAATTTCAAGGATCTGAAGTTTATAGCATAGTAAAACAAAGAAAACCTAATACGGTTGCAGAGAAAAACTTCAAAATCTGTTCCTGATAAACGAAAGTCTTTAAAGGACGGAGAACCTGCTTTTCAGTCGTGTTAAGGCAGATGTTTCCCCCCGGGGGCGAGTGCGCAGAGTGGCTGCTGCGTGCTGCTCAGCGCGCCTCTGCCAGGGCCGGTGGGCCAGGTCTTCTGCATCACGGCCCAACTGTAACAAAAGTCCTCTTCGTGGAACAGAAGAATGCACCCCTTCTTAACCAATGAATTGAACACGAATTTGGTGTACAAATGAGAAGACCGAGGTGGGTACAGACTCAGAAACCCCACAGCACGCGATAGAAGAGGGGACGGCAGGGGTCGCTGTGCCACGTGAAGGAAAACGATGCCATGAAAGTTCTTTGTATTAGCAAACATCACTGTGTAACACTTCTTTTTCTTTCCGGATATTTTTATAGCCCTTAACAAAAAAATATTATAGTAGCCTATGCTGTTTTCTCTTAGAATATACATTCGTATTCCCCCTGGCTGGTGGAGGCACAGCCGGCTCACCCTCACGCAGCTGCTGCTCCCGAGGCCAGGCTGGGCTCCAGCTCACCCCACTCGGTGGGCAGGAGCCCGTCTCGGCAGACCCCGCACAAGACAAGCACAAGCACGACACGCTTCTGCCCAGGAATCGCCGTCTGTTTATTAAGGCAGCTGGTCATGTTAGTGACTTTCAGTAACATTTTCAGCAGGAAAGTAGATTTACATTTCCTTTCTGGACAACCGGTCAGTGATCCGGTTGTGGTTGGGGGTTCCAGGGACAGCAGCTGCTGCTCGGGGCAGACCCTGACAGCCACCATCTGCCCCGCTGCTGCCCAGCTGGGAGAGAACTTGTAGGCTGAGGAAAGAAGGGCGTGCACACAGCCGGCAACTTCCAAGGGTCCTGACACATTCTTTCAGCCAAATAAGCCCTGGCTTTAAGACGTCTGTGGGAGCACTGGCCTCAACAGGCCCCGCCAAAGCCCCACCGAGGGCACGGCCTGCCCAGCCCTGCAGGGCTGAGGGGGCAGGAGACCACCCCGAGGCAGGAAGGTGAGAGGTCAGCAGAGGAAACCGCTCAAGCTGCAGCCCCGGGGAGTCAGTGACGCACAGTGGGTCGGGGAGCGCGAGTTGGGCAGGAGCAGGGCAGATGGCACCAGGCCTCGGTGAGAGCCCTGGACCCGTGCTGAGGCACAGGGGCGGCCCCTGAGGGTTCAGGCGAGGAATGCCAGGATCAGAGGGGCATCCAGACACAGCTCTCGGCTGTCAGGGCAAGGACGTGGGCCAGGACAGAGAGGCTGGAACGCCAGCCGTCCAGGAGCTGGCAGGGACAGGGACGGCAGGCTGTGAGGCTGCAGGGCGTACCCTGGGCAGGGAGCAGAGCTGGTGCCAGGCCTGGGCCTTATTCCCGTCACAGCTCCCGGCGACCCCTCGCCATGGCCAGAGGAGAACGCCAACAATCTCACGCTGGCCCTGAGCCAGGAGCCGCCCGTCCATGCCGGCCAAAGGCCAAGTCAGGACCTGAATTTTCCATCCTGAGCCCTGTGTCCACGCAAGCCGGGCCAGACAGGGTTAGAAGCCAGAAGGGAGCTCCTCACCCCAGAAACCCGGCCCTCGCCCCAGCCCAGAGCACGAGCGGGTGCACGAGGCTGACAGCAGCCCTAGTGCCGGGCATTGCTGTACCTGCCGGCCGGCTCCACGTGTGGTACGTGACAGGTTGCCCTGGCACACAGCAGTGCTTCACGATGGTAACCCCCACGACAGTGGACCCCTCAACCCTTGTGATGCCCGGGCACCTTCGCACGTCTCTGTCTCAACATGTGGCCACGACCCCTGGGGGTCGGGATGCCGGTGCCTGCAAACCTGCTGAGCCGCGCAGGCGAGCCGCCACCTGGGGGCCAGGCCTAGGCCACACTTGGCTCCCACTACAGCCTTGGGACACACAGGGAGGCGCCCACTGCCCAGGCTGCTCACAGCCGCCCACTCAGCCCACTGTCCCCACCGCCCCCGTGGGCTCACCTGCGTCCTCAGCCCCACAGACAGAGGAGAGGGGCAGCCGGGCCAGGCCCGAGCCAGCCTGGACGTGCCCGGCAGACCCAGGCAGGAACCGCACGAGGCACAGCTGCTCCTCTCCCAAAAACTCAGCTGTGGGTCAGAAAAGCCCTCCCAGCCGCACACCCGGGGGAGGACTGCGCTGAGATGCCGTGGAAGGTGCGTGTGTCCTCGAGGGTCATGGTTCATCTTGTTCCTTTCCTCACCCGAGCCTGACAAGCTATTCTCAGAACTACCCCTGTGCTGAAAGCCAAGTGTCTAAAACAGCCCCCACCCTGCCCACGCTGCCCCAGGCCTGGTTCCCGCCCCCTGCAGAGGTGGGGGATAGGGGCTAGAGCCCGACGCAGGGGCACGGAGGGTCCCCCCACCCGGCCGAGACACCTCAGCCCCGCCGGGAACTCGAGTGACGCCATCACTCATTAGCCCCAGCGGCCGCCCAGCCAGGCGGATGCGCCCTCAGGGGTGGCCGGCGAGGGCGCTGTCGGGGTGCAGGCGGGAGAAGCGGCCGAGGGTCCAGATGGGGAAGACGTTCCTGTAGCTCGTGTAGGAGATGGCACAGGACTTGTTGAAGACCCCAGAGATGTTGTCCTGAAAGGACACAGAGAAATGAACACAGGCTCCACCAGGCAGTGTAACAGCCCGTCTGTCCCTGGGTGAGTTGGCCTGGGAGGTGCTAATCAAGTGAGACTAGACGGTGAGAAAGTCACGAGCAGGTGGCCCTGCCACACTGGGTCAGCCAGGGCTCCACAGCCCCGCTCAGACCCGCCCTCTACCCCCCAGCAAACCCTTGACCTGGGTCACCAGCCCCCCAATGGGCACAGACCCCCGCCCCCTGCCCCAGCCTCATCCAAAGAGAGGACAGTCAACCTCACATGACCTCATGACCCCTACCCTGCAGGGACAGGTGGGGGCGGCTCCCTACCCCTCCAGCTCGGGGAGGGGCCTCGAGGTGGCAGAGCCAGGGTCTGTCCTGGAGGGAAGGGGAGAGGGGCCGCCCTCCCCCTGGCTTTGCACCCGTCCTGCCCCTGCCCCAGCCAGAGCGTCATTTGCCAACAGCAAGATCTGCTCAGGACTCCAGCACCCGGTGACCTGCCACAGACCGGCCACCACCTCTGCCACCAAACACCTCCCAAATCTCCACAGCACCCCAAGAACACTGTGGCAGGGTGGAGCAGTGATACAGCCCGTGCAAACTCGGGGTCAGCAGGGGCCTTGCGCTCTCTGGCCCCGGCGGCGTACCTGGGGCCAGTCGCCATTGGGGAGCTGTTTCTCCAGCAGACACCTGACTCCTTTCTCCTGGGCCGCCACGTCGGGGTGCCTGGGGGAGAGCGGACAGGCTGGGACGCACCCTGGGGCACAGCAGCATACACTTCCACCCTCACCCTCACAAGGCCAGGTGTGACGACGAAACCTGGAAGGCTGCAGTGATGACCCGCAGGCCCCGCTAGGAACCACCGCACAGTGCAGGCCTCGCCACGCTCCCCCCAGGCGCCCTGAGAGGTGACGTGCAGGCACAGAGACAGGCAGGCCAGGAGGGACACACGGGGCCCGCGGCCCACACAAGGCCCCTTCTCTTTCTCCTCTGCTGCTCACTGGTCCTCGTGGGCCTCTGGAGGCCACGGAAGCCACAAGAGCTGACACTTGGTGGCCAGGGTGAGACACGAAAAGGACCCAGATCGACTGTGCATCCATAAGTGTCCTGCCCTCGAGGTCCCCAAGACTCCACTGCTCCTGTCAAGCTGAGCCAGCCCAGCTTTGGGGGTTTGAGGAAGATTCCCCTAGTGGCTGCAAATCCAACAGGGCAGCACAGACTAGGACACTGCAGCACACAGGTGTCTGTGTGGGCACACGCCTGTGAGTGTACACGTGTGCATGTCTGTATGCACACACCTGTGAGTGTATACATGTGCATGTGTATCTGTGTGCACATGCCTGTGAGTGTATACATGTGCATGTGCACATGCCTGTCTGTGCACATGCCTGTGGGTATACACATGTGCATGTGCATGACTGCACACGCCTGGGTGTACATGTGTACATGTGTGTGTCTGTGTACACGTGCCTGTGTGTGCAGCTGCGCATCTGCACGTGTGTATGCCTACACATGTACGTGGCCCAGCACCCGCGATGGACGCAGGAGGGCCACAGAGAGCAGCTGCAGGGACCTGTCGCCGTGGCAGCTGCCACTGCCACCACTGGGAAGCAGCCTCCCCACCTAACCCTAACCGTTGCCTGTCCCACTGGGCCCTGCTTCCCTGGCTCTGCCATGGCCACCGTCAGCGGCAGGTGGTCCACGCCTAAGGGGCAAGCCTCCCCCAGTCCCCACTCGGTCAGACAAGGGCCGGGCCCACCACCTGCCCTGGAAATGCGAACATGGCTCTTACAGAGCTCGTTCCCAGAGTGGCAGCTGAATGGGGCCCAGCCCTTGGCCCACAGGCCTCTCCCGACATTCGCACTTGGTCCCTCCCCCACCACCCCGGCTCAGGGCTGAGGCCGAGGTCCCCACCTGGCAGCCATCAGCCCCATCAGAGCCCAGCAGGTGTTGTGGATCTGGGACCGGGCGCTCTGCACGTAGCGCCGCTGCTCGCAGGACTCGAAGTCCTCCCCCCAGCCTCCGTCCTCCATCTGCCGGGACAGCAGGAAGTCGCAGGCACGGGAGACCTCTGCACAGGCAGCCCTGCAGAAACCAGGAGACACTGCGGGTCGGTCTGCACCCTGGATTCCAGCCCTGGCAGGCTGCCTCGAGGGTCGGGGAGGGGCAGTGGGGAAGGAGCCTGTACTGGGGCCACCCCACCCCTACGTGGGGCGGGAGGCCACCAGTGACACCCCTGAGCCTGTGTCTGCAGACGTGCGGTGTGGACAGGCACACCTGCCCCCAGAGCCGCCGGGAAGATAACGTAGAGCGCTTTGTGCTGCAGGGGCCTTGCTGAAATGCCAGGTCACGGTGTCCACGGTGTCTGGGTGGCACCTGAAGAAAGCCAGGCTCCTCCCAGCCGCCGATGAACACTCCCATGCCCGGCAGCATGGGCACGGCAGCTGGCAACAGGCATGGACCTGAGGCCTCCGCCCTCCTCCTGACTGGCCCAGTGAGTGTCCTGGACCCCAACCCACTCCTACTCGGGGTGCAGGTTCAGGGGCCGCGGCGTCCCTCCACCACACGAGTCAGGAAGCTGTGCGGAGCGTGAGGCCAGGGAACATCCCCATATCAACCTGGGACATTTTCTGATCCTATCTCACTCTTTATAAACACTCCTAAAATCAAACACGGAAGGAAAAAGCACCGACGGCCAATCAGCAGGCTGAGACCCCACCCAGCGGGACCGGCAGCCCCACTCACCCATCTTGGTAGGTCTGCCCCATGCAGGCAAAGGCTTCCAGCCCAAACCAGGTGCCGTAGGTGAAGCACACGCCCCAGGAGCTGCGGGGAGAGGGCAGAACACCTCAGCCCTTCATCTCGGTCGCAGAGAGTGCGTGAAACGAAGGTGTTTTGTTCTGCTCCATTCCCGTGCGCTTCAGTGAGCAGCGCAAACTCCGGCGCCTTGGGCACTGAGGCCACCGAAGACAGCACTGCCACCTGCTGAGCCCCCCCACCCTGCCCAGACCGGAGAACCGATGCAGGCAGCCGGAGGAGGGGGCGTAGTGATCACACTCAGCCCGCTGCTCTCTGCAACACACCAGGCAGCCCCCACCTAGGTGAAGCCCAGGCATTCAGAAAAGGAACAGAGTCCACCAGAAATTCACTGGCTGGCAGGTTGCTTCCAGAAACTTCTGGTGTAGCAGGATCACACAACTACTCTATGAATGCGGCATGTGAGAGCAGAACCCTCCCGCTCCTGCCGGCCTGCACCCCAGGCGGGGCCCACTCACCCTTCCCAGGAGCCGTCTGCCCTCTGGGTGCGCCGGCAGAACTCCAGGCCCCGCTCCAGGGTGTCCCTGGAACACGTGAGATCGGCCCAATGAACATTCCAGCAGAACAGCAACTTCCCTGTCCCCATTCCACCCACTCCACACTCTCAAAAGAATGCGTGTGGTCTCCCTTAAGAACACGTAAAAGTAAACAGTTTAGACAGGAGACCTGAGGGTGTGAAAAGCAGCAACTACAGGACAGGGAAGGAATCAGGTTGGCAGAGGGCAAGAAACTCAAGAGGAAGAGAGCGCAGGATGGAGCCTGACAGCAGCCGCCCAAACGGGATCAATACCACTGAAAACGTCAGCAACGCAGGCCTGAGTAAACCATGCAAAATGAGTTAAATGAAGGGAAAACATCAGCCGGGCGCAGTGGCTCACGCCTGCAATCCCCGCACTCTGGGAGGCTAAGGCAGGAGGATTGCTTGAGCTCAGGAGCTCAAGGCCAGCCCGAGCAAAAGTGAGACCCTGTCTCTACAGAAAATGGAAAAAATTAGCCGGGCGTGGTGGCACCTGTAGTCCAGCTACTCAGGAGGCTGAGGCAGGAGGATCACTTGATCCCAGGAGTCTGAGGTTGCTGTGAGCTGTGATGATGACACAGAGCCCAGGTACTCTAGCCTGGGCAACAGAGTGAGACTCTGTCTCAAAAAAAAAGAAAAAAGAAAAAAGAGCCTCATTTAAACAAAAGTAAACTCAAAAATAAGAAGTGACTGTTTCTCCAAATACAAAGTAATCAGTGTGACAATGCTGGAGGGATGACAACGCAGGGTGTCACGACACCCCGAAGGATCACACTGACTCTTCAGCAACGGATCCTACAACAATGAATGTGGGAGGTGTCTGAGAAAGAATTCAAAACACTGATTTTAAAGAAGCTCAATGAGATCTAACAGAAACCTGAAAACCAGTACAAAAAACATCAGCAAATTAACTGAGATACAAATGAGGTCTGGGTGGGAGTAGGCGGGGTGTTGGTGGTCCACGTTGTTGAGGTTGGGGGGAGACTGCATGCCCCAGGAGACCCTCTTGCCTTCTGTCGAGATTCCCCAATGCCGCCCAGCCCCTAGCAGAGGCCTCTGCAGGTGGCCCTGGGTGCTGCTTTCCCTGCGCCCTGTGGGGTCCCCAGGGTCCCTGGAAGCGAGCCCTGCCGTCGGGGACAGTCATAGAGCAGGCCCGTCCTGCGTTAAGAAGAACACCAGCTAATACATACGGAAGAAATGCCAGTTCTGCAACCATCACGTAAATAATTGATTCAGGCAAGAATATCAAAATGCTAAAGCTAACAAGTAGAAGTCTGATGAGAAACAGGACACGTTCATAGTCTAGTACTTTCTCCCCACAAAGAAAAAACGGTTAACTTTACGGTGGAGGAACTAGCACAGGAGCCGCCACCGTCAGCGAGGGCTCAGGCTGACGTGTGCCCTCCCGTCCTGTGCAGGGCGCCAGCACTGGGACATTCCTCACAAAAGCAGGTGACCTCAGCCTGACAGTCACCAGAGACACACCATGGACATTCTGCAGCACGACTTGCTGGACAAGCAGGAAGGGACCAACATAAGGGACGACTGAGGAATTGCTCCAGGCTAAAAGGGACCAAGATGTGACAACTAAATGTAACCCAAGGACCTTGGATGAGAGCTTAGGGAAAATTTTGCTATGCAGGACATTATTGGGACAATTAGGCCAACTTAAATAAGGTCTGAAGATTAAATAATAATATCTTACCAACATTAATATTCTGACTTACATTTACATAAAAGAATAACCTGCTAAGAAATACTGAAGTGGTTAGGGGTAAAAAGTCGGTCTCAAGCGAGTCAAGAAAAAACACACGTGGGGAGTATGAAAAGAAACATGGTGAGGCCAGTACAACAAAATGTTAGTAACTGAGGAATCCTGGAAAAAAGTAAACAGGAGAGCTTGCAACTATTTTTCTAACTTACGTGTAAGTGCGTAGTTAAGTGAGGATTTTAAGGCAGTGTGTTGACAGTAAAAATGGAACATTCCATGTAGTATTAAGAGTGACTGGCAACCCAAACAATATCTCCAGAACTCTCTAGATAGGCCGGCTTCAGTGGCTCATGCCTGTAATCTTAGCACTCTGGGAGGCCAAGGCGGGAGGACTGCTTGAGCTCAGGAGTTCAAGACCAGCCTGAGCAACAGCGAGATCCTGTCTCTACTATAAACAGAAAAAAATTAGTCAAACAACTAAAAATAAAAAAAACTAGCCAGACATGGTGGTGCGTGCCTATAGTCCCAGCTACTCGAGAGGCTGAGGCAGGTGGATCTCTTGAGCCCAGGAGTTGGAGGTTGCTGTGAGCTAGGCTGATGCCACAGTACTCTAGCCCAAGCAACAGAGTGAGACGCTGTCTCAAAAAAAAAAAAAAAAAAAAAAAAACCTTCCCTCAAAGAAAACTGCAGGCCCAGTTGGATTCTCCAGTGAATTTTTCCAAATATCGAAGGCAGAAATACCATGACTATATAACAACATAAATTCTCTCAAAGAGTATAAACAGAAAAACCGCTTTCCCACTGGTGTGTGAGCCCAGCGCTCCCCGACGGGAACCTGACAAGGACGTCGTAAGCAAATCACAGACCAGCTTTCCTCACAGCCGCAGCTGTATAGACGCTCACAAAATTTCGAAAGGCCACCACGGCCAAGTGGAGTCCATGACATTCATCAATGAACAATGTGATCCTAACAGGATAAAGAAGAATCTGGGGAAACTGCACACCCCATGACCATACCCACCAACACGGCAATATCACGCCTATGTTCACGTCCACAAGAAATGGGCACCTGTGCGCCCCAAACACAAGCACAGGAATGTTCATAGTAGGATGTCTGGTCACGACCTAAACCGACGTCCTCCCAGGTGCTGACGACAGGCCAGTGGACGGAGCGTTCACCCGCCGGCCAGACAGCAGGGAAGGGCAAACTGCAGCCACCCAGCCACCCGGCTCAGCCTCACACACCAGGCTGGGAGGAGCCAGCCAGTCCACACTGCGGGACTCAACGTGCACGAGCTTCACGAGGTTCAAAGTGAGCAACAGAAATCTTGGACTGGGCAGCAGCAGGGCGCCCTTCATGGGAGGGCAGGGCAGGCCAGAGGGCGCTGGTGCCAACAGCCTGACGCAGCTCCCTCGGCTGTCCCCTCACGACGACCACACAGGCCGGCACACCTCTCTGAGTGTCCGCTATCCTTCGACAAGGAAGGGTACTTAAAACTGCCATTTACCTGGGCGTAGGCAGAGTTAGGTATGTATGTTTTTGTTTTTAACATTATTAGAAGATGTGAAACGTATATTTTTGCTTTGCTTTGCTTTTTTTTTGAGACAGAGTCTCGCTCTATCGCCCAGGCTAGATGCAGTGGCATCATCACAGCTCACTGCAGCCTCAAACGCCTGGGCTCAAGTGGTCCTCCTGCCTCAGTCTCCTGAGTAGCTGGGACTACAGACACGTGCCACCACACTTGGCTCATTTTTTCTATCTTTTGTAGAGATGCGGTCTCGCTCTTGCTCAGGCTGGTCTTGAGCTCCTGACCTCCAGTGATCCTCCCACCTTGGGCTCCCAGAGTGCTGGGATCACAGGTGTGAGCCACTGCCCAGCCAATAGCTCATTTCCATGTTATAACTGTGCTATTCTGGGCTCCCAATACACATTTTTGACATCATGAGAGCATACGACTGTTCAGGAACACCTGAACCCTCTTCCTTGTCGACGTGAGTTTTGTTTCTGAGACGTGTTAGGGAACGAGTCTTGGCCCTGACTCGGTGGCAGAGTGTCCTGGGCCGAGGCCTCCTCACCTGATCTCCGCCGCCCTGTGGTCAGGAAAGCACCTGTGGAAATGCTTCAGTGCCTGCATCACGGCGGAGGTGCACTCCACGTAGGTGTAGTCGATCATGATGTCCCCTGCAAGGAGGGAGGAGCGAGGTGTCTGAGCCCCACCCGGCCGCCCAGAGCCCACCACTCACCAAACCATGGCAAGAGAGAGAGCACCGCTGTGCAGAGCCACACCTGGAATGGCCCGACCGTCCTCCAGGGCAGATGGCAGCTCGGGCTACACAGGGACGGGGGCTGGCACACGCTACATGAGACCGAGCAGGGGTGCTGGCCTGAGAGCGAGCTGTGCCCCACCCCAAAAACCCTGTGCCAGGTTGAGGAGCAAGATGCACAGAGACCGGGGAGGCGGCACACAAGAGGCCCATCAGAGAACCACGGCAGTCACACACACAGAGCAGCCCACCGGCCCGTGGCACAGGCCCCCAAGGCCGCCACCGACCTCCTGCAGTGCCATGGACTCCATGAGGTATGCTCAGGAAGCACGGGCACAAGGCCCCGTGGACAGAGCAGGAGTCGGCCTGGGCTGTGTCCAGAGAGCTGGGTGCAAATCTCACCCGAATCCCCTGCCGACCCCAAAACGAACCCGCAGCTCTTCCGCCCACAACTCAGAGACCCCTCTGGGAGCGGATGGGACAGAATGCCCCGGGCTCAGGGAGGGCTCCGTAAGGACCTGCCAGTAGGCTAACCAGGCCAGGGGGAAAAGGCGGGCCCCCAGATTCCTGTGCCATGATGCCGGCAGACCACTCACCGAAGACCTCCGAGGGGTTCAGCAGCTCCAGCAAGCGCCCCCCGCGCTTGGTCTCGTAGGTGGCAAAGCCTCCGTCAGGATTCCTCATGTTCAGCAGCTACCGTGGGGAGGGAGCACACTCAGGAACAGGTGTGGGGCGCCCTCTGCCACGGCCAGCAAGCCCTCGGTGCCCACAGCAGCAGCTGCAGCCACGCCAGCCAGGGCCCCTGAGTGCAGCCGTGTGGGGCACAGCCCAGTGACTCCTAAATCAAGCACGCGCTGCCAGAACAGCACGGATCTCCGTGGTAAAACACGCATAAAACCAGACGTGCTTAAAGGGTTTTGCACAGAAACAAACAGGGATTCTCATCCTTCCTTTGGACACCCAGTGGAAACCACCAGCCCTCCTGAGAGAGGCTGGGGGCCTCAGCACAGTCCTGGCCAGGTCCCCGAGCCCCCAGACCAGGCCCAACCCAGGGCTCACGGCTCTGCAAGCAGACGCCGTCTGAGGAGCAGCCCTGCAGCCCGGCCTGGGGGAGTGGCGGTGAGTGCACGGTCTACATGCAGGACGCAAGGTGGGGTCCGCGGCCAGAGCCTCACCACAGCCACAGCATCGCAGAGCCGCTCTCGGGGGATGTGCTCGGTGACAGAGGGACACTTCTCCTGCAGGAGCAGCACGGACTTCAAGGCCTCGGCTGTGCAGTCCGCAACGATCCAGCCGCAGTCCAGCGTGCTGAAGGAGAAGCCGCCCTGCAGGGCACGAGCCGTGATGGCCAGCTGGGGGTGCCTACACCACGATCCCCAGGCCACCTACAGCCCCTGTCCCCTACAGAGGCCCATTCACGGCACAGCTGTGGGTATGGCAGAGCCCAAGCTGGACACTGGACAGACCTCAGCTTCCAGCTCGGGGCCCCAGGGCTGTAGCCCTCCCTGTGCCATCAGATCTCACAACGGGACAGTGTCTGACTGTCCCCGACACTCTGGCTCACGTCCCAGCCGCCTGCCTGATGTCTGTGTGTGCTGAGACTGGCTGAACTGCTCTGAGGTGTGGCCATGCGTGTGCACAGGCTGCCCCCCGGTGGCAAGAAGGGGCGCCACAGGCCAGGCGGCCTCAGCACTCAGGCACCCCCACGCTGGGCGTCTACCAGGGCAGGCAGCAGAGGATGCCCAGGGAAGAGCCCTCGAGGAGGGAAGCTCAGCCGAGCAGAGCGGCCGGGGCAGGGGCGGGGTGGGCAGCGTCAGTTCCTGCGTACCTTGTTCATCTGGCGGTAGTACTTCTGGTAGTCGGTAGGGCTCTCTGGGACCTGGGCAGCACAGGGGGCACATGTGGAAAGCAGAGAGGCCGTCACCACTACGGCAGGGGGCCCGCACTCAGACAGAAGGGGCAGGACTGGAGAAGCGGGATGTGCAGGGAGCTGGCAGTGCTGGGCCATGGCCGCCACCGTGCTGCAGGGGCTCCAAGAGCCAGTGCCCACAGGGCCCTCGGCCCACGGCTGCCAGGAAACGCGACTGGCGAGCGAGGGCGGAAACCTGCCCGGGCAGGAGGCACTCAGATGCCCGAGTCCCCACAGGCCAGCCAGCGTCCCGAACAGCCTCAGCTCTGGAGACCCTCGTCCTGAGCTGCATCCCCTGACTCAATTCGAGGGCAAACAAGTCTACATGGGTGGTGGAGTCTAGTCTGCCTTCCCAGGTCCCCACCGCTCAGAGCAAGTCCTAGGCAGAATCCAGGAGCAGGCCCAGCTATGGTGCAGGCACAGCCCTGATACACCCCCAGGTCCAGCTGACACCCACACCCCCAGGCCCGGCTGTGGGGCAGGCACAGGCCTGACACCCCCTACACCTCCCAGACCTGGCTGTGGGGCAGGCACGGCCCTGACACCCACCACCAGGTCCTGCCTGGGCCACACAGAGGCTGCAGAAGTAGCGCCCAGTGAGAAGGGGGGCCTGGGCGTGTGCTACAGGCGGAGGGGCCCTGGCTGGGGCAGGGTGCACATGGGAGGGTGGGGTGCAGGCCTTGGCTAACTGTGGCCGAAGATGGGGGTGGGGGAGCAGGTGAGCGTGGAGACACTGAAAGGTCGGATCGGATGCGGGGAAGGGTCTGCTGGGGTTGCTGATCCTCAGGCAGTGTCCTGGCCATGGAATAAGGCATGGAGGGGGTGTCGGGCAGGCTGTGGAGTGGGGGACACAGCCCCCGACTGTGCCCAATCCTCTGCATACTGCGACTCCAACATGGCCTGGATGCCACCACTCAGACGGCAGAAACCACAGCGCCACAGCAACTGGGGACGGGCCACCGCAGGCCTCCAGAGGGCTGTCCCCAGGAGTGACCAGCCCCAAGAGAACGGGGTATGTGGAGGAGGGGGTGACCTGAGCAAAGCAGCACAGGTGGCAGGGTGGAGGCGAGGTGGCACTGCTGCTGGCAGGGGCAGTCCTGAAACCCATCTTCTGCCCCCTCGGAGCCACCAGGTGGGGCCTCACCTGCGACAGCCGCAGGAACTCGTGTGCCTTCTGCAGGCAGGACAGGAACTCGGGCCTGTGGTGCCCGCCCGCCTGGAAGAGACAGCAGGGCAGAGGCTGAGCCAGGCAGGCAGGTGAGCCGGCTCCCCAGCAGCCCTGGAAACAACCTGCGGGGACCAGAATCAAACCAGCAGGTGCCTCCAAGGGAGCTGGGGTTTCTCACTGCACTAACCTGTACAGACAACGTCCGTAAGACGTAAAGAAGACAGAGGGGAGCAGGAGAGACCGCCTGTAGATGCCAGTACCCCACCTACAGGGCCAGCATGTGCCCCTGGGGGCCCCCAGCACCCACCTGAGGCCCTCGCATGGCCCAGACCTCGGGGCTCTCCACAAACACCTTCAGAATTCCACTGAGCTCATTCCCACCAGCATAAAAACGTGCCCTCATTTCTCTCTAGTACATGCTCGAGAACATCCATAACAACTGGTTTAGGTTTCATCTTGTTTTATTTGTGAGTTGCTGTCGCTCTGTGGCCCCAGCTGGAGTGCAGTGGCATCATCACAGCTCACTGCAGCGTTGAATGGCGAGCTCAAGTGATCCTCCTGCCTCAGCCTCCTGAGTAGCTGAGACTACAGATAAGAGCCACTACACCAGGCTAACTTTTCTATCTTTCGTAGAGATGGGATCTCACTATGTCACTCAGGCTGGTCTCAAACTCCTGGCCTCAAACAATTCTCCTGCCTTAGGCTCCCCAAGTGCTGGGATTAGAGGCTGAGCCATCATGCCCAGCCAAGCAGGTTAAGAACTGTAACCTCAGTCCTGCTCTGGTGGCCCCATGCCCGTGCTCTGGAACAGCCCTCAGCAGGCTCCCCTGCTCACACGGCCCCCACCCTCCCGAAGCCCCTGACCCAGCCCATCACCGAAGGCTGCCAGGCAAGCCACCCCCCACCCCCCTGCAAGGTCACCACTAGACGCTTCGCAACCCAGGCCAGCGGGAAGCACAGCAGGTGTGAGGTCCGCAGGTGCCAAGACCTTTGGGTAACACACGTGCTCGTGTGCACAGGAAGGCTGGCCGGGTCAGAGGACGAGACAGAACCACGTACCTCCAGTAGAGCCTGGATGGCGAATGAGGTGTCCCAGATCTGGGAGCCGTTGGTGCCCTGCAGACAAAGGATGGGCCACTCAAGCTGCTGCGTCTTGCAGCAGCTTGACGATGCCGGGCAAACTGGGTGTGGGGCTGGGGTCTCGCACCAGCCAACACCTGACTCCAGGCTGGGCCTGCGTGCCCCTGGCAGCTGTCCAGGGCCTGAGAGGAGGCGTGCCATGTAGGCAGGCACAGGTCCTCCATGGCCGCCGACCAGGACAGCATGGTCCCCCACGGGCTCTACCCCCACCCAGCCATGTGGTGACCGGAAACACCCCCTTTTCTGAGTTCCCTGGAGGTGATGGGAGCCTGGGTCACAGGTCAACACTCTGGCCTCAGTTCAGAGGCCGGTGGCCGCACCCCAGTGAGAGACGGAGCTGGACAGCGGGGGTGGGGTGCGGGCAGAAGCTCATGGACATCACACCCTGTGGAGACGACACATGGGAAGTATGGGCCTTCTCTCCAAAAAAGAGACCCAGCAGGACGGGAGCCTCAGCCCCCCACGCCAGTTCACAGAAACCAGGTACAGGGGCCTCCGGTTGGATCCAGCGAGAGGCCCTTGAGGGACAGTCTTCTAGCAGGAAACCACTGGGGACCAATACCAAACGCCGGCCTGCGCCTGGCGGGGGCCCTGTCCGACCAACCAGCTGCACACCACACGTGGCGAGGACGCCATGCAGGGACCGTCCTGGGAGTGGCGATGGCAGAGGGGCCATGTGGAAACAAGCCCTCGCCGGCTCAGCCGCCAGGAAAGCCACCGCCGCCCAAGGCCCATTACTCTCCGCCACTCCACACGTGTTTTGAAACCGTCTCACATGGCACGGACAGTGGGGCACCCAGGGGGCTGCAGGCAGCTGTGGGGCCTGCCCTAGGGGGGCATGTGCCCATCCCAGTGCGACACCCCAGGACCCCTCTGGACATGCCCCATTTCCACACTGACCCAGGTGGAACAGCAGACAGACCCCCAGTGGCGCCCCCTCAGCAGAACGCAAGACCTGGATGGCGCCCGCCTTGGGTCCTGAGACACCCACCGTGCTCACGCACAGAGGATGGGGATGGGACTGTGGCCCCAGGGCGTCAGGACAGGACGAGGGTCGGCCAGCGCCCACGCCCAGGAACACCACCGTCCTCCACACCCAACCAGTGGGGCCTTGTGCAGAGAAGGACGTCAGAGCACGTCACAGGACTGGGCGCCAGCTGGGAGCCCACCTGCAGTGGGGGCTCGCAGGTGCTCGACGCTAGGCTGGCTGGTGGTGGAGCTGGGCCTGTTCTCCTCCCACCTGGATTCCTAGGCCACTCCTGAATTTTACTGTTAGCCGACTGATTTAAAGAAATGATCCTACCTCCACCAGAACAGCACCAGCTGGCCGCTTCTGATGTCAGCTGCCCTGTGGCAGGACTTGGGCTGGCCCTTCCCAACACAGTTCTGACCTACTCTGGTTTACAGACTTCTGAAAATCTGACAGGTGTCCTGGCCCCCTGCTCAGGGTGGTCTGGGACCCACAACCCCTTGGGGGGCAAGGACCCTGGCCCGGCATCCCTGCTCAGCAAGGTCACATCTTCTCTGGTCTTCCCATAAGCTGAAGCCCCCAGCAAGGATCTGGAATGCAGCCAACTACATGCGTGTGGCTGAGTGTCCAGCAAAACCCACCCCTCCTCCCCTCTGCTCCACTCCAGCCCACGAGAAAGGGGACGTCTTCGTGCCACTCCCAGGCCTGGTCATCCACTCCCTCCCACTGCTCCCCAGTCCCTCCCTCCCTCCCACGCTGCAGGGGGCAACCCCAGAGCAACCACGGGAGGCGGGGGTGAAGACGTGGACCTCCCGGGACCCGGGGACGGAGCCTCCAAATGGCTGCAGAGAGGGGAGGCCCCGCCAGCCAGAGCCACCTCCCGGCACCGCAACAAGACGAGCGCTTCTGTGGCATCCGAGCCACTCCAGGTCTGTGGTTACAGTGAGTCAGCCCCCCGACCCAGAGCAGGGAGCAAAGGGGAGAGCTGCAGGGGGACGTGCAAGAACACAAGGTGCCCACACAGGCCAGCGGCACACACCCAGGACACAGCTAGAGGCCTGGAGGGAAGGATGGAGCCTCTATCGTACAGTTCCAGAACTTGCACTGAGGAGGCGTTATTTTGAATCTTAATAAACCCAAAATGATAAAATAATAATAATAATAATAAAGGGTGGGAACAGTCGCAAGGAAACGAGCAAACAAGTCACGAGGCCCGGCAGCCCTCACCTGCATTTTCATGCCATCGAGGCCCAGCCTGTGAGGACGAGAAAAGCCCAAGTCAGGGACGAGGAGAAAGCTGGAAGCCACTGGCCTCCTGGAGCCTGCACGCGGGAGAGGGCACAGGGTCTCGGAGACCTGGCGCTCCCCGGCTGGGTTCCTGGCGTGAGGGCCACACTCGGTGGGGAAGGGACAGCAGCTCGCCCAGCAGTGTTCCCGGCCAGCCCTGCCGCCCCGGGCAGGCCACAGCACCCAGGGAGGGCCCCGCACCCCAGGGCTTCCCGTCGTGGGCACCGCTCTGCAGTCTCTCCATGAAAGGAGCCACCTCCAGCGCACAGTAGGCCGACATGCTCCCAGTCGACAGGCCCTGCTGAGGCCCAGCACACGCCACCTGGCGCCATGCCGCGCTGGGACGCTGAGGCTGCAGGAGCTCGCAGACCAGTGCTGGGGAAGGCCCCATGTCTGTAGCTGCTCCTGCAGCTGGCTCCTGGTTTTCTCGGGCACTGCCAGCCACACTCACCAGAGGTAGTCCGGGATTCTGGACACGTGCTCCTGGAAGGCGGAGGAGGCCGGCCCGTCCACGTGCCAGCGCACGAGCATGTTGATGGTTTTCGAGATCTGCAGGAGACACGGCTCATCAGGGCTCTGCTCTGGCCACATAGCCCCTGGGCACAAGGCCTCACAGCCAGGCTCCAGGGCCGGGCGTGACCCCAGCGTCTCCCAAGCACTCGCTGTGCATCAGGGCCCAGGAGCGAGGATCAGCCCCAGTCTTGTCCCTAGATGCGGCTCAGACAGAGGCCCGTGCCGGCCAAGGTCATGACCCGGCTCAGGGCGTTCGGGGCTGAGAAGGGACAGGCACTTACGGGTGTCAGACTCTGGACCAGACGCAGCAGCGTGCGGTCTGCCTTAGAGACGACATGGGGACAGAGCACAGGGTCCGTGGGGCACAGGCACAGAAGTGCAGACAAGAGCAGAGTGGAAGGGACACTCACTCCCCTCCTTCCTCAGGGTAGACTGTTCTAGGGGCGCCGATTTTCCACCCCCAGATCTCACAGTCGAAACCCAATTACAACTGTGGTTTCTGTCTCCCTAGTACAGACGTGGGGCTGCGCTGACGCCCACATAGAACCACATCGCTGCTGAGCAGATGAGGGATCCACTGCAGGGTCAGCTCAGATTTGTGACTCGCTGAGGTGTCCTGAGGCGCCGCTGGCCCAGGGCCAGCAGGTGACCCCATGCCAGTGTGGCCAGGGCACGTGACCTCCATGGCCATGGAGCACGTCACACCGGCCTCTACCAGGCCCTGCCAGGGGACAGGGCAGAAGCATCAAGTCCCCCCGCCAGCTGGGAGAAGCCACACGTGACCTCAAGGCCCTTCCAGCCCCCACCCTGGGCATCTCCCAGCCCCATGAGAGAAGGTCGGCTGGCAGACTGCTTGGGGGCTGGGAAGGGATCAGGTGAGAAAAAGGCATCCTCCCAGGGGGCCAGCAAGGTCTCAGGAGCAGGTGGCAGACACACCCAAGACAGAAGCCAGGAGGGAGGAGGGCCGGGCACGGTCAGCAGCTTCCCCGAGCCTAGGCTGGCGTCCTCCTCTAGCGTGTGAGATCAGAGGGCCACGTCCCCAAGGGAGACGCACCAGGCTCCAGGGAGACCCCCCTCCTGGCTCACGACCGGCCTCTGGGGCTCTGCGGCTGGGAAGGGCACTGACCGGGCCGATACTGATGCACTTGGTGAAGCGGTCGTCAGCCATGATGTGCTCGTACAGCTTCTGCACGGCCCGCTGCCGCAGGCTGGTGCTGTGGTGGCGCTCGTACAGGTTAAGGAGCGCTGCAGGGGAGCACGGCGTCAGTGGCCTGCGCACCAGGGGCACCCCCCTTCCATCCGCCCTGCCCAGAGTCCAGCGTGGGCTCCCGCCAGTGTCAGTCCAGCCTGGCTGGTCCCACCTGGGGCTGGCACGGCAGGGGCTGCTCAGTGCTGCAGGCGGAAGGCATGGTGGAGTGGAGGCGCCAGCCTGCCTCGCCTGCCCTGGCTCAGGGCCCCGTGGAGCACCCACCGTACACCACGCGGAGCAGCCAGCTGTGCGGCGTGTACAGCTCGTCCGGGGCCACGTTGTCCCTCTGTGCTGGCCAGTCGATGCTGGCAAAGTCCTCCACGTACAGCTCCTAGGGGGGCAGCCCTGAGACGCTGGGGAGGAGGCCACACCTCCCGAACACTGTGGCCTGGCTGGAACCAGGAGGGGCAGCCTCCTCCACCGGCCAGTCCTCAGGGCCCCGAGCACGCCCCTTCCCGGGCTGGGGTACATCCATGACCGACCCCTGCAGGGCACGGAGGTCCAGCCATCCTGGACAGGGCGACTGTCCGGGGAGCTGGCCCAGCTCTGAGAGCAGCGTGTCTCCCTGGACACTCATTGCCTCTCTCTGCCCCTCCTCCTCCACCTGGTGACATCCCGCACCTTAAACCCCAGTTCAGGGCCTACTTCCCACAAACACAATGCAACTGTGGACCAGGGGTTGGGCAGTGTGCTCCTGGAGCTCGGGGAGCCCCCGGCAAACCTGGGTGACAGTAGCTCCCGGTCCCACAGCACAAGTCCCCTGGGCAGAGGTTGCTTGGCATGGCTTACTGGGCTCCCCAGTGCGTGGATATGCACAGTTAGATTCAGGGGGGTCCCCAGGTCTTGGGTCCCAGCCACGGCAGCCGTGCACCCTGCTCCCTGAGGAGGTCTCACCTGGCGGAGGCTCTGGACCAGCGGGTCCTCCGAGGCGTTCAGCCGGGTGGCATAGCAGTAGCTCATGGGCAGGTACACCTGCCGGCAGTGGCACCAGATCGTGGAGGGGTGCGCGGGCGCCCAGTCGGGAAACAGCCTGAGGGACAGTGTGAGTCGGGAAACCCCGGGACACAAACCTGCCCCTGCTACCAGCACAGCGTGTGGTGGATGGCGGCTCCCTGGGGTCAGCGCAGCCCCTGCAGAGTGTGGTCAAGCCCTCTGCCCACACCCCCTGCCCAGGGAGCAGATGACTACAAGTGTGGTCAGCCTGTTGTATTCTACAGCCAAGTGCCCGAGCCCTGAGCGTTTAGCATTCTCTAATGGGTTTCTTAGCAGTGTAAAACATTAAGGATGGGAAACTGAGTAAGGGACCCAGGGAATGCTCTGGACTGTGCAACTTTTCAGGAAGTTGTAAACTATTGTAAAATTGAAGTTTATTTTTAAAATTTTATTTTAAAACCCAAAGGCCCGCAGAATCTGGCTCAGGCCTGGCTCTTCAGTCCTCGTCTCTGCCAATGTTGGCACAGCCAAATCAGCTTCCAGGGTCCCTTCAAGTCCCCCATCCCTGTGTGCAGGCCACGGAAGCCAAGCAGTGCAGAGCACGCCCACTCTGCGCCTGGACCACCAGCACCACGGGTGCTTTTTTCACTTGGGGTAGTTTCTGGCTTTCCTACAGCTGGAGTGGGTCAGGGTCTGTGGTCCTCCACCCCAGCCCTGAGCACCCAGGGAAGATGTCACCACGCACCAGTACTGGCCGACAGAGCCCGCTGTGGGCACAGACAAGACGCTCTGCCCAGCGCCGGCCTACGGCCTACACCTACACCCACTCCCGCCCAGCAGCCACAGCAGCGCCCTCCTCCGCCTGCTCCTTCAAGAAGGAGGCTGAGTCCTGCGCAACAAATCTGCCAGTGCAGGTCGCCTAGATGACCTAGCACACCCGACACTGCCCTGTGCCCCCCACAGACACCCTGGGGATCCCACCACCCAGCCTGACCACGAGGGCAAGCCCTCGGTCAGGACCCCGCTGCCCTCTCCTGAGGGTCCTTCAGCCCCAGCAAAGTCACCCAGCACCAGGCCCCTACACCCACCCTGACAGCCCTCGAGAGGAGACCCCAGGCTGTCCTGCCACACTCAGACAGCAGGGCTCCGCCCAGCTCTGCAGGGTTCTGGCCTCACCTCCCAACACATGGAAGCACGGGGTAAACTCATGTATGTGCACAGGAGTGCTTCCTGGGACATGTTCACAACTCTAATTAGATGGTCACAGAATATTAAAAAACACTGGTTACAGATATCAGATAATAATGATTTACTGTTGTTTTGCTGCATTCTATTAATAAAAACCACCCATCTTTTAAAGACACACAGTGCCCACGGTGAGGGTGGTATCTGGGGTGTCCCCCAGCAAAGGAGAAGGGTGGGGGCTCACGCTCTCCTCTACAGGTGCCCAACACTTCCCACAGGACTGCTCAGCTGTCCAACAGCTACACACAGGGGCTCTGAGCCACCCGCCCATGGTGGTGCCCACCCACCACACAGCCCCACCCACGGCGCCTCCGCCCTCCAGCCCCACGGGGCCCCCTTCCGTCACCCTGTAGGACTCAGCTCAAACAGGGCCCCTGTCCACAGGACCACAGTGCCCCACCTGCTGTGTGGCAGCTGGCACATGACCCGAGGCTGTCACCTCCCCCCTCGGAAGGCAGCAGGGACCCGGCAACCACACCCACGGCTCGGGGCCAGCGTACCACATCTCAGGGAACAGCGTGTTGAGGCCTTCCCAGCTGTAGACGTTCAGGATGGCCAGCCAGAACTTGCCCCAGGAGGGGATGGCCACGGCACCACCTGGGGAGAGAACAGGCCCGTCATCTGCCTCTAACTACGCAGGTCCGCGAAGGTCGGCCCCGCAGCCGACCCCCTGCCCCTTCTCACAGGGGGTGGCAGCCTGTTGTGGATCCCCAACCCCATGGAGAAGCAGGTGTCAGAGCAGCTCAGGACTGCCCGACACCACGGCCTTGGGCAGAACCGGCGGCTTTCCCGGCAGTGAGCGTGTCCGCTCCTAGGAGAGGGGTTTGCAGCCCGTCCCCCAGGAGGACGCACACGAAGGCAGCTAGCTGGGCAGCGGGGGACACCTCAGTGCTAGGTGGGGAGGGGCCCAGACGCACATGGCAGCTTTGTCCACGCGCCTGGAGAGGGAGACGAGGGAAGTGGGAGTGCCTGCTCTGGCCTCTCCCTCCTGGGGCTCAGTCTGACCTGCCCCATCTGTGTCACCCCACTTGGCAGACAGGTCCTGCACGGGTGGTGACGGGCCCCAGGCTCCAAATGGGCTCTGACACTCTGGCCCCACATCTGGAGCCACCTCCAGCGGCACCTGGTCAGTCTCAGGCACAGTGACAGCAACACTGTCTTACACACGCTTCACGAGGGCCTGCCCCAAACTCAGGGTGCAAAGGTCAACAAAGACTCATGAAGCTCCCAGGCAAAGTGCGGCCCACACATCCCTCCACTGGGCAGGCGCCAGGAGTGTGGTGAGGACCAGCGTCAAGCACACCCAAGGCTGACGGTGAACTGACTGCAACTCAGACAAACTCACGAAGGAAGAACCCAGGGTCTCAAGAGAATGCGTGACAGGAAGCTTCACCCAGCCTGGCAGGACACAAAGAGATCCCCAAGGAGGACGGCCCCAGAGCAAGGGAGCAGTTGTGAAGAGCCCCGAGGAAGGAAGGGGCTTTGAGGAGCAGACGGGAAGGAGGCCCCTGTGGGGTGGGGTGGGGTGGGGTGCGGGAGGCCCGGGAAGGGAAGAGGGCAACACCAGGCTCTGCTCTCCAGAGCTGTGGCGCCTTCCCTGTGCATTGATGGTCCTCAGAGCCCGCAGGCCGGGGGAGAAGCACCTGGCTGGGGAATGGATAGCAAGCCTGTTTCTGCTGCCACCTTGCTTTTAAGTGTTTCCCAGTTCAGGAAACAAACAGAATTATCTGATTGTCTTAATTTGCTTTTGAAAAAAATCACTGGTAGGTTGAGCAGCTTCCACCTGCTCCTGCTCTAACGAGCATCCTGTGCACGGTTTGCCCAGTGTCTGTCTGGAGGTGCATCTCCGTTCCTCGCCACAGAGCTGGCGCAGGGCGTACCTTTCCTGTGGAGGATGTTCCGAGCTCGGACCAGGTCAGGATCGTCAGGCCCGATGCCCAGAATTCTGAGACACACGTAGTTGAGCGCAGTCCCAAACACCGTGGACTTGTCTTCAATGTGCCTATGAGAGAGAACCAGTGAGAAACAGCACCTGTCCCTGCTTCTGAGAAATATGGTAACCTGTACAGTGACACTTCCTTAGAAAAGTAAGAACGCTACGGTGGCTCACACCCGTAATTCCAGCACTCTGGGAGGTCGAGGCAAGAGGATCATTGAGCTCAGGAGTTCAAGACCTGTCTGAGCAAGAATCTGTCTTTACTAAAAACGGGAAAAAATCAGCCCGGCACCGTGGCGCGTGCCTATAGTCCCAGCTACTCAGGAGACTGAGGCAGGAGGATGGCTTGAGCCCAGGAGTATGAGGTTGATTTGAGCTATGATGACACCATGGCGCTCTAGCTAGAGCGACAAGTGAGACCCTGTCTCCAAAAAGAAGAAAAGTCAGAACCCCAAAACACATGGTGCTGAGGACGTAACTCGACATCACCAAGCAGGGCTCGCCAGTGGGAGCTCCTGCACCTCCCAGGACAGCTGAGCAGCTCCCAAACTGCCCGGACAGGACACGCTGCCCCTTTAGCTCACTTCCCACTCCTGAATCAGCACGCTGTAGGCAGGCCGCCCGGGGCCAGGCCTCTGCTCCCAAGTGAAAGCCTCACTGCAGGAAGCAGTGCTGCTCGGAGACAGGCGATTTCTCCTGCCTCAGTGGTAAGAGGAGGATGGTTTTCACATGTGGGTCTCAAGAGTCTCCCAACCAGCCACAAACCCATTTCCAACACAAAATGTGAAGCTGAGGCTGGCAGCTTCTGCCCCTCCTGCCCACCTACCCACCCATCTGAGGTCCACAGCTGCAGTCACCCCTTACCCTGCGACAGCTGCCTGGAAACCCAAGCATCTCTACAGGGGAACACACACACATGCATGTGTACATGTGCAGTGACAGGGGGTCAGGTACACTCACAGGCCCCAGCCGCCGTCAGGTAGCTGCACCGACCGCAGGTACCGCACCATCTCTTCTCTGTATCCGGCTGGCAAAGGGATGCGAGCCACGTGGCATGTGATCAGGAGGCCTGTGTGGCAGGGAGACGTTCCTCGCTGGGGCCAGGCGGTCATTACTGCTAAGCCCAGGTCCCTTTCCTCTCTAGGACCCCACCCTGACAGGGAGCTGCTCCCCAGTCTCCTTCCTTCCCATGGAAGCAAACACCTGGGAAGCCATTCCTCCTGGGCTGCAATTGAGGACTTTGGGGACAGGGCCAGAGGGAGCACCAGCAGCAGCACAGGTGACACTCCCTGTCTGGGGCCTCTGCAGCCCACTCGGCCACGCCCGGCCCCATGACGCTGTCGGCACCTAGGGAAGGCCTCCCCAAGGCCCCGAAGGTCCAAGAGGAACCAACGTCTTAGAGCAGTGGGCCCTCCATGAGGGGAGACTGTTGTTCTCACTTAACACCTGCTGGGAAAGAAACCCAGATGGGTCAGCCCTAGATGGCGTTGTGCCACGCTGCACATGTCAGGGGAAGGCAGAAGACAGTAAGTGTGATCCACAAAGAACCTTCTATTCCTGGCCTGGTCTTCTTGGGCTACCCTCCACCCTCACACTCGGCTCCATCAGCCACGTGCCCACGGCACCTGCCACAGAATGGGTCAGGGTGGACCCGGCCACACGCACCACGGGATGGATGCCTAACTCTGGCTCAGTGGCACTGGAAGCCCTGGAGGACAAAACAGACACAGACACACCCCAGAGGAAGGGGGGACAGACTCAAAGGTGCCGCACAGGTTCGTGAGAAACAGCCACCCCAGAACAAGCCCGTCTTTTGTAACAGTTATGATGTTGTTAAGACAGGGAGCCGGGCGCGGTGGCTCACGCCTGTAATCCTAGCACTCTGGGAGGCCGAGGCGGGCGGATTGCTCAAGGTCAGGAGTTCAAAACCAGACTGAGCGAGACCCCGTCTCTACCATAAAAATAGAAAGAAATTAATTGGCCAACTAATATATATATATATATATATAAATCAGCCGGGCATGGTGGCTTGTGCCTGTAGTCCCAGCTACTCGGGAGGCTGAGGCAGGAGGATTGCTTGAGCCCAGGAGTTTGAGGTTGCTGTGAGCTAGGCTGATGCCACGGCACTCACTCTAACCTAGGCAAGAAAGCGAGACTCTGTCTCAAAAAAAAAAAAGACAGGGAGACATGTGCAGGCAGGTGCAGAGCCAGTATCTTCCCCACTTCACAGGCAAGGAAACTGAGGCACAGCCAGTAAATGGTGGGGCTGGGGGAGTCAGACCCCAGTCGGCACCATCAATGTCACTTGGCCACACCCGACAGTAGCCATCTACACAGGATCACAGACTGACAGTAGCCATCTACACAGGATCACAGACTCCAAGAGCATTTTCCAAATTAAAGGAAAAGGCTGGTTGTAGTGGCTGATGCCTGTAATCCTAGCACCCTGGGAGGCCAAGGCAGGAGGATCACTTAAGCTCAGGAGTTCAAGACCAGCCTGAGCAAGAGTGAGACCTTATCTCTACTAAAAATACAAAAATTATCCAGACAACCAAAAATAGAAACAAAAAAACTAACCGGGCATGGTGTCCAGTGCCTGTAGTCCCAGCTACTGGGTAGGCCGACTGAGCCCAGGAGTTGGAGGTTGCTGTGAGCTAGGCTGATGCCATGGCACTCTAGCCCAGGCAACAGAGCCAGACTCTGTCTCAAAAAAAATACAAAGGTTTGGAGAGGTACAGGAGCTCTTTGAAACAAAAAGAGTCTCTCCTCCTGCTTTACCCTGAGATTGTGGTCTGGAATGTTCTTTGTTGCACTGTGACACTGGCAGAGACGCTGGCTGATCTCCACAATCCTGGGAACAGTCTCAGTGGGGCCCCAAGTGGGACCAAGGGAAGAAAGAGCCCCTGGCTGCCCTCAAGTCCCAGGACAGCAGGATGCGATGCCATACGGTACAGATGGCATGAGCACAGAGACCAATGCTGCATGGCATCCCAGGGCTCACCCAGCAGAGTGACCTGGAATAAACATGCTCAGACTTCCTCATGTGTCTGATGCGGCTTGTTCTAAGAACCAAAAGATGTACAGGCCTCGAGCAGGGCTTGGCTTGCAGTGACCACCATAGAACTGCTTCTGACATCGAAGGCCAACTCTTCCCAAAGTAACACACAGGGCTGATATAACTCTCCCCAAAATCCCCACAGGCTTTGGGACTGGACAGAGTCAGGACAGAGGCAATCTGGATATGTACATGGATAGACACAGCCAAGAAATGTTTTAAAAACAAAGGCAACAAAAGGATACAAGAACTTTAAATCTACAACAAAGTTATAATTATTAACACAATGTAGGTAAAAGAAAATACAGGTATCCATAAGAGTTATCACAGAAACAAACACTTTTTCACAGAAAACTCAGCTCACTGAAGCACCATGGTTACAAGTCACTAGGGAAAAGGGTCCTGCTGGATAAACTCACAGGCAGGATCTCCCGTGAGACAACACTATTTCTGAAGAGAAACATTCCCTGGAAGCAAAAGAGTCTTGTCCAGCCAAACCAGTTCAGTACCAGGGGTCCAACTGCTATGCCCCTACTGCCCCTCCAGGAGCTCCACTCAGGGTGAGTTCAGAGCAGACATCAGCTCCCACCTACCACCCTGCCCGCCTATGGCCCCTCCACCTGAAAAGCCTTCCCACCCAGCCAACACAGCCCCAGAGCCCCCTGATCACCCCACACCACACAGGGACAGCGACACCCTTACTCCCATCTGCCAGCACCAACAGCAAGACAGCTGGGACCCAGGGCAGCACTCCCCAGCCCTCTCCTACATGGGCACCTGTGTTCCCACCTGCGCCACCAAGAGCCTAGACCAGGCCAGGCCCCCAGGGGTGACCCAGGGTGGCCAGAGCAGCAGGTTCCTACCTGGCAGGAGGAAAAGCGGGCCGCCGTAATCACCCGCCCAGTGCCCATCCTCAGCCTGCAGCCCCACGTAAAACGTCATCCCATTCAGAGCACCCTCATGCGCCGTGTGGGCTTTGGGCAAGTCCTTAAAGTAATTCTTCTGTGAAGAGAGAAAAAGATGAGAGCTGAGGGGCCTGTTGCCCAGCCAGAGGAAGCCTCCTCACTCATAGCCCAACTGAAAAGAGTGAATCTAAATTATCCATACTGTAAAAGTTTCAACTGTTTCAATCAAAAGTCTGAAACTCTTTGATGACAGTATCACACCTTGGCAAAGTAAAAGGACAGTTCCATGTTCTCTTGGTTTTATATTTCAGTCGCCAATTTGCAAAGTTCTTTACAACTTCTTCAAGATGTCTTAAACCAGACTTGGACAGACAGTGTGGGGAGGGGGAACCGATGCCTGGGACCCTGGTCCCTCTCTCTTCAACAGGGCCTGAGGGACAGTGCCGCTACTCCCAGGGAGGGGCTGTGCTGGTGACTGGTGGCCAGGGCTGGGCAGGGAGACCCTGTCTACCCTGCACACTCTCTGACTAGCTGAATTTCTCACAAGAATGCACACAACAAAAAACTGGATCAGAAAACCTCTTTTGTAAACAGACACAAAATTACAACTACCTCTGCAACTCTTCTGTAAGTCTACTATTATCTCAAAATAAACTGCTAAAAACAAAAACAAAATTAGAAGTTTCTTATGCCTGGCTTAGTGAGGAAGAGATTGAGGCTTAGGGGCTTGATCAATTCACACCCTAACTCAATTCCTGTGGGAACCAGCCTTGGTGACACGTGTCATGTCCACACATTACATTTTTTTAACAAGAAAACAACGCTCTTCACAACTAACTTTCAAGGCTCCCTACTGGTGAGTGGTGCTTCTGGCAGGTTTCCCATCACTTCCCAGACATTGTGTTTGAAGCAGTGACAAGCGGAGTCCAGCCACTTACGGTGTCCAACCCCAAGGAGTGGGCTTCCAGGCCAGTCTGTTCTCGGCCAGGGTCTTCGTCTTCCTGAAAGTAAGTCCACGCCTGCCTGCCCCTCTCATTGCTGAGTCGCCAGCGGCTGAGGTCGGTGGCCGGCTCCGATTTATAGGGTCCCCCTCTGCGACGCAGACACCTGAGAGCCGTCGGGCTGCTGGTCATCAGGTCGGCCGAGCGGCAGCCCGCTGCTCCCGGACCACCTGCCCTGGCCAGCCGGCCCTCCTCGACCTCAGCCCTCCCGAGCTTGCGTCGCAGCACCCGCCCCCGGCCACAGCGGCCTCCGGCTGCCCCCGTCCGCCTGCACAAGCTCCGGGTCCCTACCCCGCCGGGACTTTGGCCTGGACCTCCACCCCGGCCACGCCCCCACTCCGGCCCAGACCCCTACTCCGACCTCCGCCCAGACTCCCGCCCGATACCGTCCCGACCCCGCGCGCCCCCAACCCCAACCCCAGTCCCGCCCCCCGCCCCATCCCTTACCCCGACCCGAACCCCCACCCGGCCCCCGAGCCCCGCCCGCCTCACCTCTCAGGCGCCTTCCCGGCCGCCACACCCCTGCCCACCAGCGCCCCTTCCCTCAGCACCCGAGACCACCCAGCACGCCGCCCAGAGGTCCCGGGCCGCGGGAACTCACGTGCCCTCAGTCATGACAGCCTGTCAGCCGCGCTCCACTCCGCGCGAGCCCTAGCTTCTCAGACCTACTACCACAGCTCGCCTTGCCTGCCGCACTGCGCAGGCGCGCCCCTCGGCCCACGCGCAGGCCCAGGTGGACCGATGCTCATATAGCCAATCAGAACGCCGCGAGGGCGAGACCAGGACGCGCTCCCCGACCGCATTGGAGAAGCGCGTGGCGCCCCACGAGGTGGAGGGCGGAGCTGAGGGGCGGGGCCCGAGGGGAAGCACGTGCAGGAGGGGGAGGGACCTGCTCGAAGAGGCGGGGCTTCATGGACCGGTCTACCGGGGAGGGGCCTCAGGAGCGAGGCTGCGGGGAGGGGCCTGTGAGGGGGCTGTGGGAGGGGCCTGAAGGGGGCGGGGCTGCGATGAGGGGCCTGTGAGGGGAGGCTGTGGGAGAGGCCTGCAGGGGGCGGGACTGCGATGAGGGCCTGTGAGGGGTGGCTGCGGGGAGGGGCCTGCAGGGGGCGGGGCTGCGATGAGGGCCTGTGAGGGGTGGCTGCGGGGAGGGGCCTGAAGGGGGTGGGGCTGCGATGAGGTGCCCCTGCAGTGGGCGGGGCTGTGGGGAGGGGATGCTGGGAAGGGCCTGGGTCGCGGGGTGGAGCGCAGCGCGTTGAGGGGCGCGTGAGGGGCCTGTGAGGAGGGTCCTGCCGGAGGCCAGCAGAAAGGGCGACCCAGGGAGAAAGGCTGGGGCAGAGGAAGCGGAGAGCAAAGGCGATGCAGGGAGTAGCGCGTGGGAGGAACCGCTGGGAGGCCTAGGCGGCAGCTGAGAAGGAAGAAGGTGCAGTGGCGGCTGAGGGGTCTGGAGGGTGTGTGGAGGGCGGGGGTCTGGCGGGTGTGTGGGCGGGCGGGGTCTGGCAGGGGGGCTGTGGAGGGCGGGGGGTCGGGAGGGGGTGTGGAGGGCGGGGTCTGGCGGGCTGTGCTGGAGGGCGGGGGTCTGGCGGTGTGTGGAGGCGGGGGTCTGAGGGTGTTGGAGGGCGGGGTCTGGAGGTGTGTGGCGGGGCGGTCTTGCGAGGTGTGTGGAGGGGGGCGGGTCTGGAGGGTGTGTTGGAGGGGGGGCGGTCTGGCGGGGGTGTGGCGGGGCGGTCTGGAGGGGGTGTGGAGGGCGGGCGGCGGCTCTGGCGGGCTGTGTCGCGCCCGCGGCGGGCCTGCGCAGCGGCTCGCTTGGAGGCGGGCGTCTGGCGGGTGTGTGGCGGGCGGTCTGGCGGGTGTGTGGAGGGCGGGGTCTCGGTGTGTGCGCGGCGCGGGGGTCTGGCCGGCGCTGCGCTCGGCAGGCGCGGGGCTCTCGGCACGGCTGTTGGAGGGGGGGCGCGCCTCTGGCGGTGTGCTGGGAGGCGCGGGGTCTGCGCGGCGGTGTGGCGGGCGGGGTCTGGCGGTGTCGCTCGCGCGCGCGGGGGTCTGGCGGGTGTGTGGAGGGCGGGGGGTCTGGAGGGTGTGTGGAGGGCGGGGGTCCGAGGTGTTGTGGAAAGGGCGGGGCGGCTCTCGGAGGCGTTCGCTGGAGGGCGCGAGCGCGCGGTTCTGGAGGCGTGTGTGAGGGGCGGGCGGCTCTGGAGGGCTGTCGTGGCAGGGGCCGCCGCGCGTCTGGAGCGGCGAGTGTGGAGGGGGGCGGTCTGGCGGCGGTGTGGTGAGGGCGGGGGTCTGGAGGGTGTGTGGAGGGGGGTCGCGTCTTGGCGGGTGTGTGCGGGGGCGGTCTGGAGGGTGTGTGGAGGGGGGGCGGTCTGGAGGGTGTGTGGAGGGGCCGCGGTCGCGCAGCGTGCATGCTGGCCGGGCACGGGGTCCCTCGGCGACGTGTGTCGGCCGGCGCCACCAGGAGGGTCTGCGAGGGGGGTGTCGCGGGCGCGGCGGGTCTGGAGGGTTGCATGCGGGCGGGGGGTCTGGAGGGGGTGTGGAAGCGGCGGGGGGTCTGGAGGGGGTGTGGAGGGCGGGTCGGCGCAGGGGTTGCTGGAGGGCGGGTCTGGAGGTGTGTGCGACGCGGCGCGCCGCGGTCTCGGCGTGGTGTGAGGGCGGTCTGGGAGGGTGTGTAGGGGGGGGGCGGTCTGGAGGTGTGTGGAGGGGGGGCGGTCTGGAGGGTGTGTGAGGGGGGGCGGTCTGGAGGGGGTGTGGAGCGGGGGTCTGGAGGGTGTCGTGGAGGGCCGGGGGTCGGAGGGGTGTGGTAGGGGCGGTCTGGAGGGCTGTGTGGAGGGCGGGGTCTGAGGGTGTGTGAGGCGCGGGGGCGGAGGTGTCCGTGGGCAGGCTGGGGCTCGGGAGCGGGGTGTGGCAGGCGGGCGGGTCTGGAGGGTGTGTGGGAGGGGGGCGGTCTTCGGCGGGTGTGTGGCCGCGGGGGGCGGTCTGGAGGGTGTGTGGCAGGCGGCGGGGGCTCTGAGGGGTGTTCGGAGCGGGCGCGGTCTGCGCGGGGGTGTGGAGGGCGGGGTCTGCGAGGCGTCGTGTGGAGGGGCGGTCTGGAAGGGTGTGTGGAGGCCGCGGGGTCTGGACGGCGTGTGCTGGCAGGCGGGGTCTGGAGGGTGTCCGTGGAGGGCGGGGGTCTGGCGAGGGCGCGTCTTGCTGGCGGCGGGGGGTCGGGAGGGGGTGTCGGAGGGCGGGGGGCTTGGGACGCGTGTTGCTGCGAGGGGCGGCGCGGTCCTGGCAGCGGTGGCTTGCGAGGCGGGGTCTGCGTGTTGTGGAGGCGGTGGGTCTGGCGGCGTTGTGTGGAGGGTGGGGGTCTGGAGGGTGTGTGGAGGGTCCGGTGAGGGGTCTCGGAGGGTGTGGGTCTGGAGGGCTGTAGGTGTCTGGAGGTGTGGAGGGTGGGGGTCTGGAGGATGTGTGGAAGGCTGAGAGGTCTGGAGGGGGTGTGGAGGGTGTATGGAGGGCTGAGGGGTCTGGAGGGGGTGTGGAGGGCTGAGGGTCTGGAGGGGGTCTGGAGGGCAGAGGGTCTGGAGGGTGTCTGGAGGGCAGGGCGGTCGGGAGGGTGTGGGGGCCTGAGGGGGCCCTGGCGGTGGGTCATGCGAGGGCTGAGGGCACTATGGAGGGTGTGGAGGGTGGAGGCAGAAGGGGCTCAGATGAGCAGGCCATGCTGGGTGGTGGCGGGTGGGGCACGTCGAGCTCCTGACGTGACACTGGGAAGCTGAGCCACATGCAGGCGCAGGTGGCTGGTGCCAGAGAAGCAGAAATAAAGACCCAGCTGCACAAGCTCACAGGGAGACTAGAGGAGGCTCCATCCAAGTGAGAAAGAAGCGGATGAAGAGGAAGGAAGATGGGGTCAAAATGCAGGAGCCACCCAGCTGCGGCAGGAAGACTGGCAGTTCTTAGAGGTGCTCTCTGAGATAAAGGGGTGAGCCCAGGACCACGGGTGCCAAGAGCCCCAGCCCAGGGGGGGAGAGGGCTGCATCCCCACTAAGGGCCAGGCACCGAGCGCCTCAGGCACTTGCGGGTCCCCAGGAGAAGTGGAAGTTGAAGGTCCTTGGCAACAGATGGAGGCAGAGTGCTTGGTGGACAGCTGGGGTGTGGTGGGGGTGGGGAGCAGAGTGGCTGGCCTGGCTGGGGGGGAGAGTTGAGAGCATCTGGCGGAAGAAACGAGGCTGTGCTCTGGAGACGACATCCGGAGGTCCTGAAGGCCCATCGTGAACCCACAGAGGCCCAGCACGTCTGCATCTGTCGCAGAGCCCTGAGTTGGCCAAGTGACTGTTTCTGCACCCACCCCTCAAATTCTTCCCCACACCTGACCCTAAAGGGGCATGACCTACAGCACAGTCTGGGGAGTTGGTAGGGGACAAGGAGAGTGGACAAAAGCAAAAAACACCCTCTCCCTAATGGAATAATGGGATCAACCATGGACACTCACCTCTTCCTATCCCTATCACATGTTCAGAAACATGTGAAGACACAGCAATAAGATATCAAAACATCAGCCTTGCCACAAATAAAAAGCTAGTTTGGAGGACAAGGTTTACATCTGCCAGGGAAGAGAAGGGTACTGCCCAAGCCGGAGTTAGACAAACCTCCAGCCTCTGGGCCACAGAGCTGCCTCACCAAGGGCTGCGCCACCTAGCGCCAACAAGAAGATGCTTGTCAGCCCACAAGTGCCAGGAAGGGCGCCCCGAAGAGCCTGAGTGCACCTGACCCTGTCTGTTCCCCCAATTTACAAGCCAAATGAGGCACTCCACTGCCCTAGGAGCAGAAAAGGGCTGAGAGTTTTCCTCCGGTGTGTCCCTCCATGTAGGAACATGCAGAGCAGGAATCAGGTCAGAGAGGTCAGGAACACAGAAAACCAAGCAAGCAAAAAAAAAACAAAAAACAAGGCAATTATCAACTCCAGGAAAAACCTAAAGTTGTACCCAAAAGAAATGTAATCATAAACCAATACAGGGCTCAACAGCAAACAGAAACATAGTGCAGGTTTCAGCCAACATGGTATTGAACTGCCAGGGAGAAGGCAGGAGAGTAAGTGTGGGTATATGTGGGTGAAGCACCTTGCAGGGAAGACTATAAGAGAGCTAACTCCTCCTCCATTGTGGGAAGTCAAAAGTCAAGATTAAGAAATGGCATTATTTTTCTTTATTGACAAACATGAAGTTAATGAATGAAGAAATCCCTGAGTTGTATGTGTCTGGGGGAGCAGGGACTGGCTAATGGATTTGGTAGAGGTGAGATAAGGAGGTTCTTCTTAGCACTTCTGTTTTCTCGGCCACACTCAACATCACCAAGTCTGTGGATACCTTGTTGGAGCATGTGCCTGAACTGGTAACAGGGAAGGACGGAGGGGTGGAGAAGAGAGAACTGGATGTAGTGGTTCAGCTGGGACAGCATACCAAAGAGGACACAGCCTGGAGACCCCACAAGGGAACAGGCCAGTAGAGTCATGCCACAGAGATCCTTGCCACCTTACTCTGAGTGCCATAGGAACCAGGTGGTGAAGATCAGCAGAGAAGTGACTGGTCACATTTTCTTTTAAAACTGGCTCGTGGGGGAGTTCAGCAAGATAGGGCAGGAATCCCGAGGTGGGTGCTGCAGGCGTCCAGGTGACATCAACGGTGTGAGCCTAAGCTTGCTGGTACTTGGTGTGAGAGGGGACAAATTTGAGCTATATACAGAAACAGAGGG